CAAAACCGGATAAACCCGGTCTCTGCCAAAGCAGCCATTGTTCTCCATGGAGCATAGCCACCACTCCATGGAGTAACCATTGTTCTCCTAGGAGTCATTATACTGTAGCGAGTAGCACCTCCAACTATAAGTAGTAGGGGGTTTAGTATAGGAATACCTCAGTCGTTTCTATAGCCTCTCGGGCAGCGGCTGAGGTATGTTACATTACATTTATTAGAGATCACCTTAAACTAACATCTATTGTAGTTTCACTTAGGTTTATTAAGACTCACTTCAGACCTTTCTACACAGTCTGAAGTGAGTATCTGACAGTCTTTTGCAACTATGCCATTTACTAAATAAGCACCTACAAATTTATCTTACCATAGGTACATACTCCCAAATATTTAGACCTTTCTACACAGTCTGAATTTATATTACCATAACTTCATCATTGTTCTCATTTCTCCAGACACTTTGAGGCCCCAATTAGCTCAGTAAGTATCTGGCATTGCAGGGGCCTATCTATTGATGTGTCCTAGAGAGAAATTGCAATATTTACAGCACAAGATCTGGTCAAATCTGGCCATCTTTCCCTCCAAATTCACACTTCTGGAGTTCAAGAATGTAGTGTCAGATCTGTCATTGTCACTACAGATAAGCTATTCAATAAATTATTGCTTATTTTTCTACATAGGCAGCTAGAAAACTAAAAATTATATCTACTGGTCAGGTTCCAACGGTCTCAAGCTCAACAACTTGTGAGTTATTCAACTTCTCCCCAGACCAATTGCACCTATTGTCCAAGCGATAGTATTTTCAGGATATAAGCTGGGCTTAAATAAGCCAATGCCCGCAGTGTATATACGGACTCTGAATCTGTAACCGTGGGACCCATCTGAGCAAACAGTTTGGATGATCGCCATTGGCACTCTTTCCTTTTCCTACAATATTTTAACGTAGTCCGTCCATGCCATCAGTACCGTCACTGTAACTAAGAGGTATCAGAGCAGTCTTCAAGTTCGAATACACGATGGGGGATAGTACTTCTGTAGGGCATCTCAAATGTATTGCGGCTTTTTCGTTATTCCAGTGGGCCTATCAATTATAGAAACACTTGCCGTAGGTGAAATAGACGGAGAGTCAGCGGGCATATATGGCTGCGGGTACGTGTACAGTATGACTCGCAAAACAATACTTTACAGCATGACGTTCTCAGCAGGCCTTCGAGAATGAATGTCATTTCCCTTTCTGGAGTATTGTCGCCGGTTTAGAACACGAAGGTACCATTGGCCCATCTTTCTCTAGATGACCCATTTTTGCATTTTCATACAGCAACTGACCTATTCTAGGCTTTTGAATGAATGTTACGAATCCCGAACTGCTCTCTAAAGCCCATTTGATTCTACGCGACTTCCACCATGGGAAACGTCGCTCGGGCCGATCCTTCTTCTCCCCAATCACGAAACGCCATTGGGGCAGTAGTACAACTGTCTCTGGCTGTTGCTTTTACTTCTCTGGAAGTGCATGAATCACTACTGAATCCCGACGGTGACCGGGATATTGACCAGTAATGGCTTAGGCATCTACTACTTCTTCCACTTCAGAGCTGCTAATACATCACCCATCGGTATAGGACTAGATTGCCCTCCCTAAGGTGTCTCGCAATTTCCTGGCTATCTGGATAACGGGCCGTCGTTCGATACCAGCATAACGCCCAGCCACTTTCTCATGTAAAACGGCTCCGAGGCTTCTGAAGATAAACCTTCCGAGAGAGCTCTCCTATTCCCCCGACGGATGAAAGCAGCCCGTCGGAAAAAAAAACGAACATAAGTACTCGATGACTGAAACTACGCTAGAACCTTCATTTCCGTACAAACAGAATGAGCGTTATTTCTTGGTCTTTCTTGAGCTTGCTTGTGCTGCTTGCAGTGACGGCACGCTATCGCGTGCGGCGCCGCTCCATCAAGGACATTCGAGGTCCCGCTTCGCCCTCCCGATTATTAGGTTCGTTTCGTATCATTGTAGATCTTGTTGGCTTCTCGTGCTTTTGGACTGACGAGGCTTGGACGGGTGTGTCGTTTATAGGTAATGAAATGCAGATCCGTTACCAAGAGCAAATAGGAGACCTTGAATTCCAGTGGGCTCGCCAGTACGGCCCCACGTGGCGCACACAGGGGTGCTTTGGTGTATGTCCACATATCTTATTATGCTGTGAATGCATATTAACGTTCTCCAACGTGAATCAGGAGGATGTGTTGTGGACAGCAGATCCGAAGACTCTTCAGTACATCTTCCATACCTCTGGCTATCGATTCCCGAAGACCAAGATGTTGGAGCAATCTGCTAAGAATATCATGGGTCGAGGTATTGTCGCGGTCCAAGGTATATTGTCCTATTGGTATTGTTTCTTGTAAGCGGTATTAAGGGAACTCTTCTGGGCTCAGGCGAAGTTCACCAGCGTCAGAGGAAAATTATGACCCCAGCCTTTTCAGCAGGACAGTTGCGCACATTCCTACCTAACTTTAGACAATCAGCTTCTCGCGTAAGATGCTCTTTGCTAGCGTTTCTTGTTAACGTATATCTTATTTCTCCATCAGTTATCTCGCAAATGGAAGGATCAGATAGAATCAAGCCCGTCTCCTGATAGTGCTATCATCAATATTCCTCAAATGATGGCTAGAATGACATTAGATGTTATTGGTGAAGGTGACTACGTTTTTGCTACACTCTGTTGAGAGTACATGCTGATACTTTCTATCATTAGTTGCCTTCGACTATCGATTCGGAGCTTTAGACGACCAGGAAAATGAACTTGCAGTTGTCTTTAAGAATCTCTTGTAAGTCTCTCTTCTCTCGGTATATATCGTATCTACATCGCATTTTTAGTTTGGATTCTGTGCTCCATCCACCTGTGTGGGATGTATTGTTCAAGGCCACGTGGTCCTATATTCCCAACTCAATCCTGCACTACGTCAGGCATATTCCAACAAGGGAGTACAGCCGTTTCAAAGATTTCCTGGACACCTCCTTCCGAATTGGAAAGGGTCTCGTAGACCAGAAAGCTTCTGGAACTGAGAAGGGTAGTAAAGATATCATGAGCATCTTAGGTAAGCGGCATTCATCGGGCGATCGCAGCTTGATGTAATTGATATTTTTCATCAGTGCAATCCAATATCGCTGAGGATGCCAAGAAACGGATAAATGAGGATGAAATGCTTTCCCAAATAGCGTGATTATTCAGTTGGATTACTTGGCCAGTGACTTTGCGGCTGAACACAGTGGCTTAATCTAGGACACTTCTTTTGGCTGGTCACGAGACAACTGCCAATACTCTTGTCTGGACCCTTTATGAACTAGCCAGGCATCCAGAAGACCAGCAAAAGGTCCGCGAGGAAATAGCGGCCGTTCGTAAGGAGGTGGAGGCTCGTGGAGATGAAGACTTTGTGCCTAGTGACTTTGACTCGATGCCTTTCATGAATGCCGTCCTCAAGGTTAGTGCAAGAACAGTGTTAATTGTGTGGAAGACAAGTCTCAAAATGATATTTCCAGGAAAGTCTGCGCTTGCATCCTATTGTTGCCGCACTATTCCGGGAAGCGGCCGGCGAAGACGTTCTCCCTCTTTCTGAGCCACTTGAAACTGTGTCAGGTAAAATGATAGACCAGATTCCCATCAGCAAGGGTCAGACGATCAATGTCTCTGTCTGTGCTTACAATCGGTGAGTGTCGTTGCGTTCTTCTGGCACCAAGGCCATCTTAACGGAAATGGTGACAGACTACCAAGTGTATGGGGAGAAGATGCAGATAGCTGGAACCCTAACAGATTCCTGAACAGTGACAAGGAGGGGCGGACGTCCGTCGGGGTGTTCGCAAACTTGTGCGTCTTCTCGTCCGGTTTCATCACTATTGCACTCTTCTCACGAGGTTTTGTTCGCAATTTGTAGAATGACTTTTTGTGAGTGATGCATTATATATATATTGTGTAGGCACGATCTAAATGCTCGTTGGATATCCTCATTAGCTGCCGGCATACGTGCTTGCATCGGGTGAGTTTCTTCCTGTCAGTACCATGCCTCTATGCTGACAATCTCCATCGATACAGATGGCGCTTTGCGTACGCATCCTTCGTTCATGATTATCTTGGTAAAACCACTAATCACACCTATCCTTGAATATACAGATTACTCGAACTGCAAGCTGTACTCTCTGAGCTCGTCGAGACGTTCGTGTTCCAATATCCTGAGGAGATGGAGATCATACGACTCAACGCGGGAATCATGGCGCCTATTATGAAAGGCAAGCTTGAGGCGGGAATACAGCTACCTCTCCAAGTCTCGCTCGCGCATGGAGCATGAGTGCTAGCGACTCAACACAGAGAACTGTAGCTGCGGTCGGATGATCTATGTCTTTTGTTGTATTTTGAAAACACCCCCCTCAATGTATTTTCTCGTATTTTGTACATATATGGTGACGTGGAATGTGACATGGATGCTGTAATATCAAGTTATTTGTTTTCAACAAATCTTTGCTTGCAGAGGAGTGTGTTTGTTGTCTGAGTGGTATACGGATTTTTCCAAAATTCCACATGGCTTTATGCACTGGCTCATGGTAGTATTCGACACAAACATCTGTCATCTGAAGGAAGGCCATTATTCACAGCATCTAGGCAGATCTAAGGAATACCAGATGATTAATGAACATCGATGAACCTTAATTATAATGGGCTGTGAGGGCGCTGCTTTTGACACTGTCACGAAGCAGAATAGATCAAGGATACAACTACTGGGGCTAGCCCAATATACACAATAAACACAGGTAAAAAAAAACACTAGTCCAAATGTCAGTTAAATGCAAATAATAATGATACCAGCTGCAAAGCAGAATAAGTAGCGAGATATGAGACGGAACTATACATTGAATATGCTGACACCAAGTTCAACGCCACACGGAATGTGTTCGAACAACTAAAAATCCAAGTCCAGCACAAATTGAGCATATTCACGTATGTATTCGTGATTGCTCTACAGGCCAAGGTCCACGAGTTCTTGCAGAGAGAGAAGTCCTGCTGTCAAGTTGATATGCTCACACATTAAGCGCAAGTAATTCGAACAGCGTCGGTGGTGGTAGTCGACGAGAAACGGTTTGTAGATGTCCAGTTTTCTCTGCAGGCAAACGAGATGAGGTAGGATGAGGGGGTATAATCGATTTGAAAGGAGAAGGTGTGATTCGTTTGAGACGAATGTTTGCGTGAGACAGTCTTCGAGACTCTCACGAAGGTCATCAGGGGTGCCTTTGAGCTCTCTGAGCACGGGAAAAAAACAAGATGAATAATTATTTAGTAACCCATGAATTGGATGCAAAGCTTACCTGACATCGATACGAAGAGCTTCACATATACCAAGTACGGTATACATTGCATCAGCCCAGCCCACATAAGCGTCGCTCACTTCAGCCTTTGGCATGTCTTGCTTCGTCCATAATACAAAAGCCTTGACTAGTTTGTTGAGGGCGAACATTGCATCGCCTAAGGCGCCCACCAATACAGACTGGAAAAACACATGAATAACGCGAAGTGTATGTAATGGTAAAAAATGCTCACTTGCATTTCTTCCCGGTTTAAGGAAGACAAGGCAGACGAGAGTGTGTCGGATATATCTAGGAGGAATCAGTAATCCTTCAAAGTCATGAAATTATGATGCAGGGCACACACCTGTAGCGATATCACTTCTGATCGCGATATTATCCAGTTGGAGAAGGGATGCAGACGTATAACGTGAAGAACCAGGAGTAGTTGTATCGTTCTGTAATACAAGTGCTTTGAAGGGCTTGGGAAGGGAATCATGATAAAACCTCTGTATGGCTAAGGAAGCAACCACAACACTAGGACGATGTTCAGGCGAAGACCAGCATCTGTTGATAAAGGCCCAGTGGGTATCGTCAATGGAGGGCCGTCGAGGTTTATGACCCATGAAAAGAAGAAGGAGTACACGTTGCTCTTGTCTCAGGTAGTAGTAAGGAATTTTACCGGAAAGTACCTTTAAGTAAGTCAGGACGATAGACGAAAGATCCATGAAGATTAGCCGCACCTGAAGAGCAACGCTACCCAGAGAGTATATATCACTCTCGGTCGTGGCTTTGGGTACATTGTCGTCTTCGGATATCTTGAAGAGCTCTGGCGCAGCCCAACGAACTGCACCACCGACAGAGGATGTGAGGTATGATGTTCCTTCGAGTTCTAGCATGATGTTTGATAGGCCAAAATCAGATAACCGGGGTTTGTGCCTGTGATCGAAGAGTATGTTCGATCCTGAGAGGTCGCCATGGATGACTCCAGAGCTGTGCACTAGTATTTATGTAATGAGATAATGAAGCAGGGTCCTTCACAGAAAAAACTTACAATACATTAAGCCTGCGACGATCTCGAAAAGCTGAAAACGAGACCGCAGTATAAGCATGCCACGTTGCTGAGCCGACGAGAAGTATAAAACTGACAATGCGTAACCGATCTGATAAGAAGAGCCTGGCATCATGGGTTTCCAGGTAATGATTTAGAGTGCCGTGTTCGGCCCATGGACAGACGAGGGCAGGATGAGGGCCACCGAAGCCATATGCCACGCCAAGTAGGGGAAGAATGTTGTCGTCATTGAGGCATTTCCATACTCGGACTTCTCGGCGAATTCGCTGTAAACCACCTCAATAAAAAAAATTGAGTGAAAATGGACGTAAACTAGACCGACTTTGAGCTGTTTCTCTTTAGCTTTCTCACTGTCAAGCAAATTCGGAGGTTTGAGGACTTTGATTGCCACCTGGGTGAGGCATACAGTCAGATGGGAGTGGCACCGAACTTTACAGACGCACCCTCTCGATTCTCGCCCCCGATGTCAGTTCGCCTTCATATACATAAGCATACCCACCGTATGCTGATGGGTCAATGCGTCTGCGTAAAATATACCTCGTGAGGTCGGGTGGCTCACCACGCGCCCCGGGCGTAATACGCGCTGCAGCACAATCTTGGCTGCGTGATGGAAGAAAATTCAGAGGTCGGATTAAGGGGGTACGGAAAGTGAGTACCCGAAGACTGGATATAATCTGAGTGAGGGAAAAGTCAAAAAGTTTATACACTGCGGACAAGAGGTTCACGTACCTGTCTCTGCTGCATGGAATTAGGTCGTATGAGGACCTTTGATATGAGAGACAAGATAGAATCAATGCAGCGTTCCAGCAGGTTTAGCTGGAAATGGCTGCTCCTCGCTCTATCTTGGTGGGGATACGTGATCAGTAGGAGAACAACATTAGCGACCTCCAGACCGGTCGGACGTGACTGGGAGAACGAAAGGAAAAGGGACTGCGTGCATTATAACGCAAGAAACCTCGAGGGAAGGGTGCGTATACCTTGCGTGGGCCATGAAGATCATATGTGCCGTATAATATTCTGGATGAAGACAATATCAATGGTGTGAATACATGAAAATAAGGTAGTGCACAATTGAATCAACGTACAAGAACCGCGTTTAGGGTTAGGGCTTATTCAATCAAACCCCATATTTTATTATTTTTTATTCTGATCCGCTCATTTTAGAGTCCGGGGCCGACTCGACTTCCATCCATGGGACCGAAGGACTCGCAACGAATACGAATAAACATCCCTTCGATATTCACAACCTGTTCGAACTTCCCCCCACATCTTGGCTCATCAAATGATCCACATCAATACGAACGATAACGAAACTTACTATCACCACTTTAAGTCCAACTTGAAGGAACTCAAGGCGGGGTGGACATTGCACACCCTTGACACGATGCTGCTTACGCTCATTGTCTCTATTGGCTGCATGGAAAATGGGGGCAATGGTAATGTGAGCTAAATACTAAGGATTGATGGCGAGGAAACGGGGCACGTTACCTGGGTGAAAGTTTAGGGTCGTCTGCAGGTACGATTTACAGCTCGAGTCTCGTGGTCATTCCATTTGTTTACTGAATCATCAACTCCACATGAAGAGCCCATCTTCTTCTTGCAGTCGAATCCTTGAAAAGAAAGCCATCTCATTCAAGACCGCACTGCATCGCACACAGTATGTTTTCAGTTCACAGATGCCCTCGACACGTCTAGAGGTATTAGACTCACAGAATATACACATCTACCAAATCCACGACCAGGCCAAGTCCAGCCCCTATGTGGGTATTCGCTTGTTGGGAGTCATCTCTATCGGTGTACAATAACCATGGCGACCTTGCCGTATAGGCTTAGAAGCATGGCATCGCACACGCTATTTTCTTTTCAAAATATCTATGAGGTATTAGACTCACAGAGTACACGCATCTACAATTCTACAAACAGGCCAAGTCCAGAATCTATTTGGGTGTTCGCTTGTTGAGCTTGTCATCTCTATTAATGTACATTACTCACCCACGACAGGGTATCGAACATTTCTAACCGTGATATGGTACAGCATGTTTGGGTGATGAGATGGACTCAGCCTGGAATACCGTGTTCTACACCAAAAGCCTGATCATAAATAAGGCGTCTTCAGAGAGCTCACGACCGTCCAGATTCATTCACATCGTGGCGATGACACGACTGATAGGAATTGCAGAGGGCATGCAAAACGCCAAACCGTGAACTCGGAAAAATATTGGATCTATCACAAGCAGTGGTGGAGTATACGGGGGTAAGGTGGGTAGGGATGGCGCATTGATCCACATAGCTTGGTGAGTGGCCACTTTTTTTAAATTTCTATTTAGAGACAATAACAAGGTTGATATAATGTGGTATCGGGCATTATAGCAGGAGACCGAAGTCAGGTTCAGTTTGGTGGTTAACGTTCATTGCTCAGGGGCTCACCATTTTATTCCGCTCGCAATCTTCCGTGCCCCACACGCTGACAAAATTACTGCGTATCTGCTTATATTCTTCAACGAGTTTGTGTAAGCATTCCTTCAAACAATATTCAAATTTCAATCGGTACATGGTTGCGCTCCAATGTAAGTTCCGGTCCACCTGTATGCATGAATGAATTATGCTGACTGGTGCTCCTTATCTCACTAGTATTTTCTTGACCTTTGGTTCTCGAGGCGACAAGTAGCTCGTACCGCCGTACCAGCACAGCAAGCCTGTCAACGCTGTATCTGTTCGAACTTTAGTCAGAATGTTGTCAGTCGTCTTGGTGGCACCACATGCACCCACGTCGGGGCTATGATTCGCACGAACCGGTTTGGTTTCGGGAATACTAATCATGACAGATCACACTCGGATGATGATCGCAGGGGTGATAGTATGATAAAGAGGCCTAATTTCTACTTAGACCTTTGTATTTTATTTCTTGCAAGGACAGACAATTAAGGAAATTGTCGAGCCTTCTGATGGGCATTATCTGAGGGTATTTATTGACCGGGACAGGAAGGCGCTGCCCTGATTACGTTATGAGGCATTTCAATGGACCGGAATTGTGACCGAATTTGGTACGAGCGATGGTGTCACAGTGACGTGCTTACAGAGATGTCACGGATATATTGCTAATGACTGTGTTTCCCGCCGCCGATTTGCAGAAACAGCGGATGCTCTCCATATTACACACCTTAACCCTCCAATAAGTCAGCAGCAACACTAACAACAACACGCTCCCGTCCCTTCCTTCTACTCCCTCATAGTCTTTCTTTCCCTTATCCTGTTCCTCATTCCCGGTCCTCGCTGCTTAAAGTTGTCATTCCTACAGTATCAGGTCTTTTGATACAGACATCTTCAGGTGCTACACCCAGCACAATGACCTCTCCTCCCCCTCACCCTCAAAGGCTCATCAAAATTATCGTTATCTCAGATTATGTCAGTTCTTTTCCTTCTGTCTGATCTCTTATTTATCCGCCTCACTCGCTTAACCCATCCTATATCGTCTTAGATCTGTGCATTTTGCTACATCGGTAACAAGGAGCTGCGTGATGCTATCGAACAGTGTTCAGATCTCCCCGTGAAGTTTGACGTCGAGTTCCGGCCTTTCACTCTCGTGCACTGTCCAGAAGGCAAACCTATCCCACGCAAGGCCTATCTTGAGAAGAAGTTTGGCCCGGAGCAGGCAGATATGTCCTGGAAAGTCGTCGGGTCGATGGCGCAGGCAGCCGGGCTCAAGATGTGAGTCGTCCCTCTCCTTTGCTGCCGTCTTTGTGGGAGAATCCCCTTACTTTGCGAGCGCTTTGCAAGCGCTGGTTGCATGGCTGTGCTGCAGGTACCTTGATGGGAGATGGGTGCTGACTTTTTTTGTTTCCCGTTGTTTGTAGCAAAGACGAAGGACTCATGTGTCAATCTGCAAACGCCCACCGTCTTTCAGTCAAAGCGTACCAGACGGGCGGACAGGAAATGCAGCAGAAGGTTGTAGCAACGCTCTTTGAGGCCAGCTTCGTGGAGAGTCAAGATCTTAGTAACCTGGATATCCTGGCAGACCTGGCGGCAAAGGCGGAGCTGATGGACCGGGAACAGGTAACGTGGCTAATAGGCTATATATAATGCAGTCGTTTTGATAACAAGGTTTTTCGTTTTTTGACAGGCAGTGGAGTTCCTTCAATCAGACGAATGTAAAGAGGACGTAGAGAAGATGATTGCGGCGGCCAAAGCTAATGGTGTTATTGGGGTTCCGTTCATAATCATAAATGGGAAGTGGGCGCTAAACGGCGTCCAGTCAACCCAGTGTTACATACAGGTGAGCAAACAGCGATTTTTTACTTTCCTATCAAATTCTTCTATGGATCTGCCTTGCTTGTGTCAACGCTGTCTCATCAACGCCACAACTCTTCATTTTTAGATCTTCCGGAAATTGGCGAAGTGTACGGAATTATGCTGTACACACTCCTCTCCGACCGTACCATCTGCTGCTCCTGGTAAACTTTTACAAAAGGTCGCCGCCCCATCAGCTGTAGTCGATACTGCAGAATCATAACGGTTTTTCACCCATTTTATCTCCGGTGCGTTTGCATTGTCTGCTATAGTGTATATTGACATTCAATCGTTTGTGGTATGGTGACTATCGATTTTGTCTCTACACCAGGTTGCTGAGGTCGCCCTATTTTCCCTCATATAAACTCTATCCTCCGAGCTCGTCAAGTTTGAGCTTCACTGTCTTTGATTCGTCTCTTTGTTATCTAGTGGGCTGCGTCAGGCTGCCTACCACTGCTATGCTGGGTGGATGTACTTTTGGCCTACCAACATTGTCATCATCACGCCCACGTTGCGTTCATGTCTGTTTAGCTGTTTCTTATACATTGTTTTTTTATTCGCATATCAGTCCACCCGTTGATCAACCACTGTCTGACTCTCACGCAAGCGTGTTTTCATTCAGAGCCGCCACCGCCGCCACCAAGCCTGTCATACGACAAGTATCTTTTTTTGGTCTCATAGCTGATAGACCGTTATTCATTGCTCTCGCGTACTTGAGTCTCTATACGATTGTTTCTCTCCGCTGCTTGTGAATTTTTTACATGATTCTGTGGGAAGGACTCGGACTGTCGGCACAGGGCCCATATATCGCAGTCTTACAGTCATGGTTGCGCCATCCGACCTGCGATGAGATTTCCCACGGTGTTCCACTTTCTTCCTTCTCTGTGACGGCGCAATAGATGTGTCAGCATGACGTCGATCACTGAAAGCGTGCGGCAGCCTGTCTCAGACCAGCCGATTTGGAGCAGGGAAAACGCGTCAAAGGTCCAAGACGTCCAAGATGAGGGAGAAACGTGTTCAGATTTTACCATATTGTCGCAGCACCGTAGAACTACCACTCACCAGACACGCCTCTTTTTCCCCGTGCCCTCATACCGTTTAAATATCCTAGACATCACCAACAAGCTCTCTAATAAACAATTGGACAAAGACATACCATAGTACACCAGTAGTTAGCCAATATGATAATCCCTCTCCACCGACAACATTGGGCCTACGTTTGGATTCCAGTATTTGGTGCTTTCATTTGGTTTGGTGAGTTCATATACTTGTGTCCGCCACTAAGATCTACTGAACCATGAGGTCAACAGGCACTCTGTTGGCAATGCTCATCACCTATCTCGCCCAGGGCCGCCCGCAGTATGTCACTCAGCAGGGAAAAGTTGCCTACATATCCGACGTTGGCGCCTCCTTCCTGAAACCACTCTTCGTAGTCTGCTGCTGCATCACAGGCACCTCTTTCTTTCTCTCCCTTTGCGTCGAGAGATGGCTCAGACATTCTGGAAGGTATGTTGATCCGTCGCCGTATGAAAGAATGCAACTTATGCTGTGAGTGGCGCGCAGACTTATTCCAGATATGCGTCGACGTGAAAGAACGCTGGGTATTCTTGCCATCATAGGGTCCTTCATCGGCATGTGGGGTCTCATCCTGCTTTCGGGCTTTGATACAAAGCGCTATCCAAGCCTACATAGAGCATTTTTGTTGGTTTTCATGATTGGTGTCGCCCTTAGCGCCATTTTTACAATCACGGAGGTAGGCATGTATCGAGTATCCAAAGTAGCCGTTCCTGATGTTGCGAAACAGTATCGATGGATCAGCAAAGACTTCATAGAGATCCGCAAATTGAAACACGCGTACATCGCCAAAGCCTTAATCGCGGGCATCCTTATTTTGCTTGCTATTGCTTTTGGAATAACTCTTTATTATGTCCCAGATGTAGGAGGTGCGTTTTGGCTTTACCTTGATAGGAAGTTAGTACTGATATCACCCGTCATCTTCACATTCCCATTCCTCACCTCTTCCCTGGTGTCGCATTCATTCAAACCCAAACAGCCATTCTTGAATGGACCATTTCATTTGGCTTCACGCTATACCTCCTCACATACTACTACGACTTACGGATGGCAAAAGGCATAGAAAAGGGACAATATAACAAGAATATGCTAGCGATGGGGCCTACCACAAATGGGCCGGGTACAGCACAAGGAGAGGTACCGGTATACGGGAATGGCGGAGGCACGTTTAGCCCTACGGAAGGCTACAGGAATGGCTTCGGGAATGGAGATGGAAGCCTCAATGGAAATCACCCCTTAAGAAATGATGCCGTAAATGCTGGGATTAGCAATGGCACAGGGTATGGAGCGAACATGCAGGGCCCTGGCATGCGTCAACTATAAGATTTGCTGAAGGAAGGACTAGACTCTGCGACAGGACTTACTGACTTGTTTAATACTTACGTAGCATGATCATACTGAATATTGAGACTTTTCATTGGATCCAAAGAATGGGCATTCTGGGGGTAGATTTGGATAACGATTGCGAAGCTCAAATCTCTAGAGGACTATAAAAGCTGCTTGAAGCTGTTTCTGGTTATTTGGTGACGCGAAACGCGTTCGCTCGTTTATGATTGCCATACCCCAGAGACAAAATGACAAGCCGGGTAATCCAATGCGGCTTGGCAGTGATACTACGGCGTTCGGTCATGCAGACTCTTGCAAGTTGACGCATATCCATATCGATAACGAACATTAGCATGATGATCGACCGCTCTATACTGGGAAGAAAGAAGTTTAATTTCCAAAATGTAAGGCAGAGAAGCATTTGACATACTGTCGACGCAGTCCTCTGGGGTAAGGAAGATAAGAGTCAGTGCTGTACAGAGCTAAGCTCCACACGCCCAGGATATCACCGACACCATGCCTTCTATCTCCATTCAAGAATACACAGACAAGGCAATCTTGTCACGGTAAAACTTCATTGTACTGGTTTTGTAAGCCGCACTATCGACCTGTTTCTGGTCGAGTTATTCTTTCCATTCCAGATGGTAACTGACAGCCCATCCATTCGTGGAGACTTCGCCGGTACTAAATAGCACCTAGACTCAAGGGTCACAGTTGAATTTTCAACATCGTGTGCCCGAGAGGAGTCATATGACATGGACGAAGACCGTGGCTGGCAGGGAGATATAGGAGCTAACGACGCGCATTCATGCATATTCATCAAGGACCCTCATGGTGATATCGATGGTCTGCGAGAAACAGGCATTCAAGGCTACGCCAGTCAAGGCTGATGACGTAGAAGGAGTATAAGCGTAGGGAACTCACAATCGGTATTCGCATATGGAGACTGGTGGGACATGCTGAGAGTAATACGTTGACGGGAGGGAAGATATTGGAATGGATTGCGGTGATGTACCATATTATATATGGCCAGCTAGGATGCCATTGTGTCAGCCACCACGCACGACCAACTCACATTCCAAATGCATTCCATGCGCCATAGCCGCACTGTTTATGCTGTTCTATCTTCATGATCGAGCCTGAGCGCTTGAAATATAGTCTGTCCTAATGACTTACATAGCCTGGTACGCAAAGTTGATAGTACTATATGGCAATTTGGGGGGAGATTATCGCGCTATCCCGAATAAAATAAATTTACTTACTTCATGAGTTTAGAAAATGCTCTGGGTGATAGTGAGCCCATTTGCTCAGCGAGCCAAAACATACGGCGCGTAGCGTTACGCCAAAATGAAGAGGTCAAGGGATACCGCAACCACCACACTTGCCTGGAAAGGCAGTGTGACTCATGACTGTGACTGGCCCGTGCGCGCACCCCTTCTCAAGGTATATAAGCCGCGCGCGAACAAGATGAATCCTTACCACTCTGGCCTTTTGGCTTAGATCAAGTGTAGTATCTGTTCTTAATAGTTTAACCACTATTATGGAGGCACCGCCTCCATTCTTTGGTTATCTAATTTTTGCCGCCCTTGTCCTCTTGTGCTCTGCTTGCAACACGAGGGGCGTGATGACCTTGCTACTGCACTTACTGGCTTGCGTCGTCGGGGGATCTCTTTTTGACCCTTATTCTCTTTGTTCTGCTTTCTAATGCTTGTCAATTGACATGTCATGGGGTCGGACAAAAATAATATGTGTCTTCTCTTTTTTCTGGTTTGATTTTCACTTTATGTAGCTCTAAGTTCGTAAATTTTCAGGCATGACAATGATCAATGAAATGACCTGACTCATCAGATTCAGCTGTATAATGTTTTCCTGTCAACTGGAACATGGAAAGCTTGCAGTCTCAGTGAGGCATTTATCAAGTTCAATTCGGCTGCTTACAACGATAAACCATATGCTTACGGCATGACAGCTTCAATGAAGGCAGATTTAGAGTCGAGCAAGAGCAGCACAGATGCGGTGTATATTGTTATGAGCGTTAAGGCCCAGTCGGAAACGACAATATTTAGGCTGATAGAAAATGATTGTCACCGAATATACCATTCTGTATCTATCTAAATACCAGAATGACCCTTTCAATCCTTAGAATATTATTACCAGCTATTGTAGAATATTTACACTGAATATATTGTTTTGAATCATTGTCTTTCTTTGATTTCAGGACCATTCAGACTCAAAGCAATTGAAAACGAAAGCTATTGATTTATTGGGAAGCATCAAAAACATATGAAAACGAAACACAACAAATTACAGCAATTTACTCGAAAACGAAATAAAATGATATCTGCCGAACCAAAATGATTATGCCTTTGCATTGAGTTTCTAGAATCAAAATAGTATAATATTAGTACTAGCAGACCAATAATGTGATACTCACCATAATAGCAGCATCTGAAGCGTATTTCTAAAATAAGGGTTAGCAAATATACAGAGAATATGAGAAACAACCTTACCCGTTGCAAATCCTCCAGGAGGTCCTTGTAGAAGATGTTGAAGTCCACCTTGTGTCCAGTGGGATAATCTTGAACCCCATTTCTAGTTCGCAAGTTCCTGAAGACCTGCAGAAGAGTCAGTTAAATTTATACATAGGGCCTTGCCGTAAAAAGTTCATGGTGGTACTGGGATGGAGGTGGTATGAGGACAAGGAGATGTAGTGTGTCGTGCTGGGGCGGCAACATTTTGGGGAACTGGTCACATGACCAGGATTCCATCCAGACTGTCGTCGAGACACCGAGACAAGTTGAAGTCGAGTTCACGATCAGATCAGAGTCAAAGTCCAGAATCTCAATCGTTTTCAATCGTGAGAAATTTTTGATTATATCAGTGTGTTTGTTTGGCAATCATACATTCACTGAGATTCAGTCTAATTCTAATTCTGTCGTGTCGTTTTTGACTGGGGTTAAGGGTTAGAGTGATAGCGCAGAGGCGTGACATAGACAAAAGTGGAGAAGTAGCATTGAGGCACAACAGCTTGCCAACTCATCGGAATCAAGGTCAATGAAAACTACTAACTTGAATATGATGTTACATGGTTGATCAGGTCCTCAATTTGGTCTGTTTCTGCAGTGATTCTATGGCCATTTTCAAGAGCGGATTTCTCTGGCAGTCCAGGTTCACCACACCGGGAGGTAGTACTCTTCGATGGCTATCGAATGTGATGTTCTTCGTCATTCTACTTGTCCTCAAATTAGACACACTTGCCGTAGATGAAATGGGTGAGGAGTCAGCGGAGATACATTACTGCGGGTACGTGTACAGCATGACATGTAGAAAAGGATCTATACCACAATGTTCTGATCAAGCCTTCGAGAATAGAAGTGGTTCGCTGCCTTCCACGCAGGTTTTCTAATAGCAAAATTACGGTCAACATAATCCCCCTTCTAGATGTATTACAGTTTGCTTTCATAATCTACAGCTGACCTTCATCAGGCTTTGTAGCGAACCCCGGTCCACCCTTTAAACCCGTTTGTTCCTACAGTAACCAATGAGGCACATCATTTTGGCCAATCCTCGACACTTTGCACAACTTTTGGTCCTAACCCAAACCGTCAAACCATTGGGCGGTAGCAAACCTGCCTGTCCATAGCTCTTCTTCTCTGACGATGATATGAAAGTGCATTCCCGATGGCCGGGATAATGTCTGTTAGGAAGGACTCAAAAGTATGTGCTTCTCTTCTTTCAGGCTGTTGAAACATCACCCACCGGTATATGGTATGCAAATACCTCTTAGTAACTCCCTTTGCGATATCTTGACTGACTATCTGGACTTACAAATGGCCTTCTTCGATACGAACATCACGGTGAACCAGTGGAACAACTTTACTCAGGTTCGATGTTTCTCATGTATACGGCTCCGTGAGCTTTTTGACAACAGTTAAACCTGAGAAGTTCTCCTATCTCCGATGGATGAGAGTATTCCGTCGGTAAAAATGAAGATAAATACCAGAAAGTCTGCACTGATTTTCGTTCTGCACAGACAGAATGAGCGTCATATCTTGGTCCATCTTGAGCGTAATTGTACTGCTTGCAGTGACTGCACGCTACCGTGTGCGGCGTCGGTCCATCAAGGACATTCGAGGACCCGCTTCGCCCTCTCGATTATTAGGTTCGTTTCGTGTTCTTGCGGTATCAAGTGCTATTGGGACTACAATATTTTTAGGTAATGAAATGCAATTTCGCCACGAAGAGGAAATTGGCGGTGTGCAATTCCAATGGGCTCGCCAGTATGGTGCCGCTTGGCGTACGCAAGGATGCTTTGGAGTATGTTCATATGTTACTCCTTGTGCTAATGCATATTAACATCGAAGTCTTCGACAAAAATCAGGAGGATGTGTTGTGGATAACAGACCCAAAGGCTCTTCAGTATATCTTCCATACATCTGGATATCGGTTCCCGAAGACCAAGGCAATAGATCAATTTACAAAAACTTTCACGGGCCGAGGGATGGTTGCGGTTGAAGGTATGTTGCCTTGTTACTTCTCATAGATGACACTGACGGTATATTTTAATCAGGCGATGTTCACCAGCGCCAGAGGAAGATCTTGAGTCCTGCCTTTTCTGCAGGGCAATTGCGTACATTCCTACCAATATTTAGACAGCTAGCTTCTCGCGTAAGAGGCTCTTCATATTGCGTTTCCATCTCTTACGTCGTTTTCCCTTGCATCAGCTAAGTCAGAATTGGAAGGACAAACTGGAGGCCAGCATGTCTTACAAAAGTGCTGTCATCAACGTCCCTCAAATGCTGGCCAGTATGACATTAGATGTTATCGGTGAAGGTGGACGAAAACTTCTTGTGTCCTGTTGAGCGCATGCTCATATTCCTATCATCAGCTGCTTTTGACTATCAATTTGGAGCGCTAGGCGACCAAAAGAATGAGCTTGCACGTGTCTTTCAGAATCTCTTGTAGGTCTCTCTTCTCCTGGTATATTTTATGTTTACAGATTTTCCAGTGTCGATTCTGTGCTTCATCCGCCTGCATGGGATGTATTGTTCAAGGCTACGTGGCGCTACATTCCTGATCCCATCTTGCACTACGTTAGGCACTTGCCGACGAGGGAGTACAGCCGCTTCAAATTGTTCCTGGAAACCGCTTTCCGCGTTGGACAGGACCTCGTAGACCAGAAAGCGTCCTCCACGGAAAAGGGTGGTAAAGATATCATAAGCATCTTGGGTAAGCAACATCTTGTTCTAACATTGCAGCTGAACGTAAAGTATTTTTCATTAGTGCAATCCAGTATTACTGACGATGTCAAGAAGCATTTAAGCAATGATGAGATGCTTTCCCAAATAGCGTGATTATCCAGTTGAAACATCTAACCGAACTAATTTGTGGCTGAGCGCCTTCGTTCATTCTAGGACATTCCTTTTGGCTGGTCACGATACAACCGCCAATACTCTTACCTGGACGCTATATGAACTATCCAAGAGACCAGAAGATCAAAAGAAGATACGCGACGAAATCGTGGCTGCTCGCAAGGAGATGGAAGCGCGTGGAGATGAAGACTTCGTCCCTAGTGATTTCGACTCAATGCTCTTTATGAACGCCGTCATCAAGGTCAGTGCAAGTGCAGTGTTATCGAGATCCAAAGAAATTGCTGAGAATGATAATCCAGGAGAGTCTGCGGTTACATCCCATTATTCCCATGCTCTTCCGGGAAGCAGCCAGTGAGGATGTTATCCCCCTTTCTCAGCCGATCGAGACTGCGTCAGGTAAAGTCATCAATCAAGTTCCTGTTAGCAAGGGTCAAGTCATCAATATCTCTATCTGCGCATACAACCGGTGAGTAGCATCATACTCTCCTGTACTAAGGTTGTATTTTTATCTAAAATGACTACAGACTACAGAGTGTTTGGGGCGAAGATGCAGATAGTTGGAACCCAAATAGATTCCTGGACGATAACAAGGAGAGACAGACATCCGTTGGGGTTTTCGCGAACTTGTGCGTGTTCAAAATTCCATTTGGTCTCATCACTATATCATTCTCATGACATTTTGTTCACAATTTCCAGAATGACCTTTTGTGAGTAATACATTATATTTATATTGCGTAGCAATGAGCTAAATGCCTGATGCGCGTTTTGAATAGCTGCCGGCATACGTGCTTGTATCGGGTGAGTCCACACGCAGTCTGTACCGTTCCCAAATTGTGCTGATAATCTTACCTCCATCGTAGATGGCGCTTTGCGTATGTACCTTCCCTCACGATGGTCTCAGCAGACCCACATATTAATCTCACCTGTTCTTGGTGTATACAGAGTGCTCGAGATGCAAGCTGTTCTCACAGAGCTTATCGAGATGTTCGAGTTTAAATATCCTGAGGGATTGGACGTTGTGCGGCTCAACTCGGGAATCATGTCACCCGCCATCAGAGGGAAGGTGGAGATGGGGGTACAGCTGCCTCTGCATGTCTCGCTCGTACATGGAGCCTGAATGTATTTGTGCTACCCGACGTGATGGGCCCCAATTGTACCTGTATGATCTATATCTCTCTATCAAATGTTGAAAATCACCTGTTGACAAGTGTTTATGGGTGTCAAACCAGTCAAGTCGAGTTATTACCAAGTGGATCCATGTTCACGTTCATCATGATTCAGACACATCTGTTAATCAATCTGGAAGGGCGGCAACAGGTATTTTTGTGGATAGGATCAAGATCGCTTGAAAAAAAAAAGTGCTACACTGCTCGCGGAATATGCTGCTCAGACGGATCTGGCAGAGCCTCCTTCCTAGCTTTGGTGTAGTTCGTGTTTATTCTTCATCACACAGCCCGTGGCCAGGCGGTTCCCAGAAGCATCCAGGTTTTTTGACGAATAATTCGGATGAGACGATTGTAGGAATTAGATGAAATCGTTCGGATTTGATCTAGCAGGACAATAAGCTCAGACTTCGAGAGAAGATCTGATATATTCAGAATAATGTACCTAGCAAGACAATAAGCTGAAAATGAGGTATAAGCTAAGTACTCATAGGTTTAACATAAAAGTATCTCACCTCAGACTTCGAGAGAAGATCTGAGGTGTCTGCCTGACGACGACAGCATATATAAATGAAGACGGAACCAGAAAAAAATGATGCGGTATATTGGGTGCACGGGCCACCCCAACTACTGGACTTCCCCAGTTTGGCGCCTGCGCCACTCCTTATCCATGCAGCACGCCGTACGACGCTTGTGCGTTTCGTATACTTCCAACACTCCCCCTCAAGCCGTACGGAGTCCGAGTGCACTTGCAAAGTGCTTGACCTTGGCCGAAGGCAAAGCTTTTGTGAGTAGGTCCGCTGTCATGTCTTCAGTTGGGCAATAGTTGATCTCGATTTTTCCATCTTCGATAGCGTGTCGGATAAAATGGTAACGAATGTCGATGTGCTTCGTTCGAGCGTGATACTGACCATCTTTGGCCAATGCAATTGCAGATTGATTGTCACAACGTAGATCAGTTGGAGGTAAGTCTTCTCTGAATAATTCGCTGATGAACATTCACATCCACAGGATTTCTTTTGTTGCATGGGTAGCCACAACATATTCAGCTTCCATTGTGGACAACGCAACAATTTCTTGTTGCTTTGAATACCATGAAATGGCACCGCCATCAAGCATCATGGCGTAGCCTGATATGGCTTGTCTTGTTTCATGACAAAACCGGATAAACCTGGTCTCTGCCAAAGCAGCCATTGTTCTCCATGGAGCATAGCCACCACTCCATGGAGTAACCATTGTTCTCCTACTCCTAGGAGTCATTATACCTTAGCGAGCAGCACCTCCGACTATAAGTAGTAGGGGGTTTAGTATAGGAATACCTCAGTCGTTTCTATAGCCTCTCAGGCAGCGGCTGAGGTATGTTACATTACATTTATTAGAGATCACCTTAAACTAACATCTATTGTAGTTTCACTTAGGTATATAATAAAGTCGTTTCTATAGCCTCTTTCTATAGCCTCTCAGGCAGCGGCTGAGTTTCACTTAGTTTTATTATTTCATTCATGTGTTGGAATGATGAGCTCAAGGGATACAGTGCAAGCGTGCACAAAGGACGAGCACCTAGAAATGAAAGTCAGCACAAGGTAGAGTTGGAGTGATGCGACACTCACCAATATATATCCATCAAAAAATTTATACTTCTGTTTTCCCTTATAAGCCGTATGCTGCCACGTACACACCTCAGAGTCCCTCATTAACTCTGAGGTGAGATAGTGTTTTGAGCCCCGACAACAACGTCAACAGCAAGGAGTCCCTCGGTGTACCGAAACTCGAGCCCGATGGCTCCAACTGGTCAATATACAAAACATGACTTGAGTGGGCTATGGCAGACAAAGATTGTGTTGAACACTTACTTGGTTTGGCCCCGAAACCCACTCCGACCTTATTGCCAAGAACCACACAGACTGCTGCACAAGCTGGAACAACTCCAGCCATTCCCGCGACAACTACAGGGTTGAATCAAACCGACCAGGAAGCATTGAATGCCTGGCTAAAGAAAGAGTTCTGCGCACGAAACATATTAGGCCAAACAATACCTGATTCTACGCTGCGCAAAGTCTTACATAAAGACACTGTCGCCGAAATGTGGCAGCTGATCGTTCAAGAGAACGAAAACAAGACCAAATTAGTCCAGGCCGAACTGAGAGATTGGTTAGCTGCGCTACAATGCCCAGAAAAAGGCAATATGCGCACCCATATTGACAAGCTCAGAGACATGTGGGAGCAGCTGAGTGCTGCCGGGGTACACTTTAGCGACAAAGAGAAATTGTCAAGGGTTTCGGTTGAGGAGTAAAGCGGGTAAATCAAGTAATAGAAAACTAAGGAACTATATATGAATAGGTAAGGCTTTATATCGCTAACCGTCCGTTCCTCAGACCGAAAGGAGAATAGATGAAAAGTGGTCTGAGGAATAAATTGTCCAATAAGAAAAAAGGAACAACTATCGTACAACTTTGAATGATTAATCAGCAGGTGAGAGAATTGTACTAATAATAGGTGTTTGTCACGCGTGTTCAGGAACCGTATCCTCACGATGAGGTACAATTCTGATCAAAGCGTTTATTAGTATATCCAGGCCTTGATGGGGCTTAGAGCTGGTTGGCGAGATACCTACTACCAGTCCCTACCCATTGTGCTGGCTGGCTAGGGGTGATACCCAGTCTCTGATCTGTGATATAAAGTGGTAGCGATGGTTAAGAAAGCCTGTGAGGGCTATGAGAAGTAAGATAGCAAATGATACCTCTAGCCCTAGAGCCAGAGGTGTAATGGGAAAAGTGTTTGAGAACCAAGACATAGAGAAGATAAGAAAATGGTAAAATGGTCCTTACAGATAAGTGCGGAGATTTATAGCCATATTGAAAAGTGTAGTCCTATCACAGTAGCCAGGTCACCAATGAGGGTGCACTGCAACTCGGGTATCTCTTATGTGGCCGATTACCCTGTGTACTTCTGTATATTTGGCTTTGAAGTTCTGATGCAAAGCCCAATAAGGGCTGTTCAAGCTGTTGGCAGCCTTAGCTATAGAATGAGCTTGCCAAAACCTCCTGCCATCTAAGCCGAGTAACTTGCACAGGCCTGCCAATATAAATCAATGAGAAGAAGATTGGGTTTTGAAGAATATATTTCTCTATAAAGAATCCAACCTGAAAGGTGTTGGAAGTTATATTTTCATACATAAACACTAACCACATTATAGTAGCACAGCCACCTTCCTTAGATAGCATTACCTGTTTTAGATAGTAGAATACTAATCTTGACCCAGGCTCCTCCACAGCCACTGTTTTGAGAGAGGAGGACTTAATCCTAGAGCCACAAAATAATGATGAGATTAGATATGATTAGATATGATAAGATAATAATTCAAAGTCAGCACAACTTTATTCTCTCTCTCCACAGCGGCTGCAAATTAACATTTGTAAACAAAAACTTGTCACAGTCACAGTGATGAGCCTCGACGTCGGCTACCATCGGACATCAAAAATCAATTGCAGACTGATTAATCATGTCAAGCATGAGCCAATATAGGCAAGTAAGTTCATGATAATCTCAGTGCCCCACTCTATCAGTCTGAAATTGATCATGTACCCCCACATCACTGATCGAGCAATTATCACTCTGTGAAGTGCCGCCTTCTGATCTGATTATCTCACTTCTTCAAGATGACCAATATGACAGTCATTCAGTGGTTATAGACTTAGTAGCACACAAGGCACGGTGTCGATGATGAGAACTGTTGTTAGAAAACCACACACAAAACAAACTAACACACAATCCTCCCAGATTCCACGGAACTTGTTTATGGGCTTTGCCTCCTAGAACAGTGGAGTGGTCTGGTTGTTCGTGGGGTGGTACATATAAAGATCCTTCAAAGTAAAACCCAGAGGTGTATGAGTGTGGGTTTTGAGGAGGAGGGATAGTTGAATTTATAGAAAGATAGGGGGTTTGTGGTGAGTATAGACGAGCACTACCTTGCTAATTGTAGCACAAGGTAGGTTTGAGAACAACGAGGATGACGAGGTGACGAGGTTCCCAGTGATAGCAGGCTCCTGACGCACAAACTGTAGTGCTCAGAAGGACTCTAATCGAAGGGGATGACAATCACTTTCAAAAGTGACGAGTGACGATGACAGCAGTTAACAGTGGTAGAAGTGGGAAGTGTTGTGACCACACTGGATCACAAGTAGCAGTAAGAAGTGGACTTAAGATTAGAGAAGAAGTCTGGAATCGAGTTCTTGTTGTTTTTTTTTTAAGGTAGAATACAGGGGTTTATATAGTAAAAGAGAAGTAGGCTATGCACAGTATAGCTGTGCAAAAAGAATGAGAAAGAATATGAAGGAAGGAATGTACGCTGACGAATCCTGCGTAGGTAGTACAGGATAAGATTGTCAAAAAAAGAAAAGAAAGGGATAGAACAATAAATGCTGTGAGTAATATCACAGGTTTGTACAGCCATAAAGTAAAGTCCAATAGCAAAAAGAGAGCAGGAAAATCATGATGTCATGGGAAGATGCAGTAAAAAAAGAGCAAGGCAAAACACTATCAGTATCAACACAGTTCCTTTATTGTCAGTCAGGCATTCTAAAAAAATATGTGTCCATAAAAATGATTCAAAAATCAAAAATAATCGCACTGTAAATGAATGTTCTGCTGAAAAAAAAGAAACTGGAGCCACCGGTCCACCACCTAGTCCAAATCTGACAGTTCCATGGCCTTACCAATGGACTGGTTGTGTTGGACCACCTGATCAAACGAGGGAGGGAGAGGAGTAGTTCCAATTTGGAACAAGTGAGTCCCAGGCAGCGTGTGGTAGGTGTAGCTGTAGCGAAGACGATGGACAAATGATAAGTGTACCCAAGTGAATGGGACAGCGATGAACATGGGCGACGCAAGGGGATGAACCTTCTCCAGCTCAAAAACTACCCACCCACGCTCCAACCAGGCAAGACGAGCGACCGATGTTTTGATAGTATATGATGGCAGATCGACGTCATGAAGATGGACCTGTTGCCCTATTTGGACCGGCCGCCGGGGCTTTGCTGATATCAGCAGTGGCACGTGGTAGTCAACGGATCGGCGACGGAAGCGGATAGGAAGTGGTGACATCAGAAATGGTGGGGGTGCAAAGAAGATGAGGAGGAGGAGGGTGGAGGTGACGAGGAGGTGAACTAAAATGGGGACCCAGAAACGACCGTCGGGTGAGAATAAAAAGGAGAGGAAGGGGCCCATGGTGGGGCTAGGCAAAGGAAGGGGAGTAAGGGAAACGACAAAAGTGAGGGCGCAATGCAATGTGTAGCCAGTGGCGACGCGAAAATTTGCCGAAATGCCGAAATGCCGAAATGCGGAAAGTACCGGATGGAAAAGCAAAGGTGAGCATGACTGGATTGCCTAATAGAGGTGGTGCTGATCAGCCACAAGTTCAAAAGGGGCAATATTAATTACTATTCCACGTGGCACTGTGCCTGTGTGGCGCAAAGGCGAGTCTTTTTGAATATTCGCTTCGTTATTGACACCTGTCCATGCTACCAATCAACTTTGGTGCATGACAACGGATTATTGAAGTGCTAGCAGGTCACAATCCAACAAACCAGCCCTTGTGGTGGAGCCAAAAGATGGTTCAAAATGCATGTCAGTCTAAACTCCAAACCCTGAGCACGAAGGAAAATCAGTGGCATTTCACATTTTAATGCATCTAATGCATTGGCAGAACAGATCAAGCAATTCAATTCTGTCTCAAAGATATGGCCCGGCAGTTCCAAGGCAGCACACCTCTCCTTTGGGACTTACTTGAGAGTTTGCTATCTGCTAATTTATGTCCTACAGATCCAGACCTTGAAAATCCAGCCACGGAAAACGTCGACGTTGCAGCACTTAACAAGTTAGAAGAAGAACACTGGGCACAAGTAGATGAATTTGACTTAGAAGGCATGGTTAAGGCTGCAATTGACAAGCCTGGAAATTGAGAGCAAAAGCATTGAGAAAGACGGTGAAATGTGGTGGCTGTAAGGACCATTTTATTATTTCCTTATCTTCGCTATGTCTTGGTTCTCGAACACTTTTCCCATTACGCCTCTGGCTCTAGGGCTAGAGGTATCGTTTGCCGTTCTACTTCTCATAGCCCTCACAGGCTTTCTTAACCATCATTACCATTTTATATCACAGATCAGAGACTGGGCATCGCTCCCAGCCAGCCAGCACACTGGGTAGGGACTGGTAGTAGGCATCTCGCCAACCAGCTCCAAGCCCCAGTAAAGCCTGGTAATACTAATAACGCCTTATCTAGAATCGTACCTCATCATGAGGATACAGTTCCTGACCACGCGTGACAATCCTCTATTATTAGTACAAAGTCTCTCACATGCTGATTAATCAAGTCAGAAGTCGTACGATAGTTACTTCCCCTTTTTCTTATTGGTTGATTAATTCCTCAGACCACTTTTCGTATATTCTTCTTTCGGTCTGAGGAACGGACAGTTCCCTATATAAAGCCGTACCTATTCATGTATAGCTCCTTAGTTTTCTATTACTGAATTTACCCGCTTTACTCCTCAACAAGAACCTTTGAAGCTTACCTCTCAAAGTCCTCTACTCGCTATATTTGCTAGCGTCTGTCGACCTCAAGCTCATTGAACCCTTACTCCCTGCAAGTGCAGAAAGAGATAGGTTTAGTTTTTGTTATAGTTTATCGTTGCCTCACAGTGGCATTGGTACATACATTATTCTGTCTCTTCTCTTAAGCTTGTAACCCATAGGTACAATAGAAAAAAGTTGTTATACTCAGTATACTCATGCAAAGCTCAAACCAAAAATCAAACGCGCTCCAAAGTATCATTGGTCCGCTCGTCCCATACTCCAGCCAAAGTTGTCAACACTTTTTCACGAATGGGCCTTTTTGTTTCATTGTATTTGGTTCAAAGTGCCATTTGCTCCCTTGCCTCAAAATCTCATGAACGACTCACCGCACTCGGACAAACCCTTCTTGTGTTGTATGCTTACAACAATTTTGATGTTGACCTGAAGTCTTATATACCAACAGTTGAGCAATCTAACGAATCCCTGAAACATTTGACTTCCAGCTTAGTCTTTCCTCTCCAACACAATATTACATACAAAGACTTTAGATGCTGAAAAGTTTGAGGAATCGATTTTTCTCATTGCATTCCCATCATGTTGTGGCTATCCAACTCATTCCACATCACTCCTCTTGCCCTTGGACTAGAGATCATAGCCGGTGTCTTATTACTCTTATCTTTTTCCTTCTTATTCTCCATTCATACTCACGTCCTATTGTACTTATGACGAAGGAGAACCATTGTAGACCCTGGAGAAGATATCCAGATGATATAGCAATGATCCAATGCTATGTCCGGGAATACTTTGGAGGGATATTAATCAGCAATGTAGGATGTGACTCAGTGCCTTGTCATGGGCTTACTGATATAGCCAATTGTACATCTCTTACCAAGACTCTCTCTCACACGATTAGTAAATACAATAGATCAGACCACTTTCCCTTTTTTTTCTTATTGGTTAGTTATTTGGTCAGACCATTTTCTTACTCTTTCCCTTTTTTGGTCTGACCCTCGCTGTTCACTATATAAGGAGTATATACTTGATGTATTATTCCTTAGTTGAATATTAGTTTGGATTTGTGCCTATACAGATACTCTTCAGCTCTCATACTATGATCCACCACCTTTTATCAAGGACTTGGCAGACATTGAGTGTTGGGACATATGAGCCAGACTATGGGACATCCAATTTAGACCATGGGACATATGAGTGTCTCTTAGGAGTGTCTCAATGCTGGTATTATTGATTCACTCTTTTGATATCATACACTTACTCAATTCACACAGTATTGAATTTAGCCTTGGTTATATTTAATGGTATATAAAGAGTTTGTGATTACATTGTCTTATGTAATCACAAACTCAGATGTTCTGGATGGTACTAGATACAAGTATAGTGACATAAATACTATGGCCATTGTTTCTATAGTGATTTATTTGTTTTTGGCATAGTTGCCATATTTGTTAAAAGTACCAAATATAGCCAATTATAGTAAAAACATGTTTCCCTGATGTGGGTAGGAAGGTGGATGCTGATAAGATAAAGCCAGATGTCCCTGAGGGGAAGAAGAAGAAGCTGGTGGTGTTAGAATCTGAGCCAGTGCTATACTTGTAAAACCATTGCCATCCCCCTCACCTCCATCCCTCCGACCTGCGCTACTCTGACAACTCTGAAGGCCATGGTTCTGACAGTAGTGATAACATGTATCATAGAGTACCGCTCACATACATCAGAAAAACATGATTTTGCTATAGCTGGCTATATTTGATACTTTTCACAAATATAGCAACTTTGGCAAAAAATAATGTATAAGTTACTATAGAAGCGGTGGCCATGGTATTCATGACATTATATTTGCATCTAGTACCATCCAGAACAGATCATAACAAATTAAAGCGAATAATATTAAGTGCTCCTAGAGTACAATAGAAATGGTAGTTGCTGTTATTATAGCAGTATATATATGTTAATGCATCAATTTTGCTTTGATTGTCAATTTTGCTCTGCATATCTTGCAGTTTTGATTTGAGCTCCTGGCCATGTTTGGAAATGCAAAGAAGAACCAATCAGAACTGATTAGAATGAATAATAACATTAAGTGACTTTGGAGTAAGATACATATAAATTTCAATCAAACTACAATTGCTTTACCTTATATACATTATTACATCAGTAACAATTTCATCCATTTACCCATCCATCTATCCTGCCATCTATCCATCTATCCAGCTAACCAGTCCATCCAATTTATCTATGCTTCAGTGGATGGCAAGTCTCTGACCACTTCCCAAGGTAAACTTTGCTTCAATATATTCAATATGCTCTGCCATATTGGAGCAAAGCTTGAAATATCTGCAGAGCGCTCTACACTGTCTACAATAGTGTGGAAGGCTCTCCAAGGTTGTGGTGTGCAATAGGCAGGCTGTAAAAAGGCGGGATTGTGCTTCCAGCACAATTTCTCCTCCCTCCTGCCCCACTCACTGTCTTGCATGATCTCCAAGTATGGGAAAAAAAAATATTATGGGCTGGATAACAACTACAAATTTCAGATAAGTTTTAAGTACCTATACAATTTTTCTAAACTAATATAACTTCATGATAGCTTTGAATTATAAAAGCCTTCAACACTGTCTACAATGTCTCAAAGGTTGGTGCTAGTGTGGAATTCTTTATCCAGTAAGTTATGTTTCTTTATACATAATTTATTTGTTTCTGATTTTTAGTAGTGTATTCAGGCTTTACATTTGAGTAGTTGTACATTTCAATACTATACTTGTTACTTTGTATATTAAATCTATAGTATAATGATTATAATATACTCTGTATCTGTTTCAGAGTGAAATAAAGCTTATTAGAGCAACTAATTATAAAGCAACTAAAGCACGGTCATTTTGGGTTTTGACACTGTGCTTTAAATCAATCTAGATGCAAAAAAGTACACACTAAATGCAAAAAAGTATGATATAGTGTGCTATAGTACAGGCAACTGTCTACTAGTTGTACTAATTGATATGAACTGATATGAACTGATATGGCTAATATATTTGCTATAATAGCAAAAATTATGAACTAGTGTGTACTTATTAGCACTTATAGTAAAACCATGTTTTCCTGATGTATTCCAGCAGCTGAGCCTTGTTATCCTGGTTATCTCGTATCTCTCTTGTTTATCCACAAGATACTTCTTGTATTTGCTGCTGAACACTAGCTCCTTGCATTGAAAGTACTATATATGCTGCAAAATCACTTAAATTCTATGATTAAATTATTGGCTATTTTGAGCTAATCTGGCTGGTTATTATTTGCCATGAATGCTATATCTCATCTATTACCCAATTATATCAAACTATATCCAACCATAGTAAAATCATGTTTTCCTGGTGGTTGTAAACAGAGCAACTGAGGGAATAGAAGGAATAGGAAGATAACTAAAAAGGATCATATGTGGTCTGAATGTCTTTTGTATCCCAAACTTAGTATGTACAATGCAACAATCTTGCTTGCAGTATAGGTACCAAGGTGGATGGGAGGTGAACAGACCACGTGCTCTAGGATGCGGCTAGCCTCAGAGGCCCAATTCTTCTTGGTATTTCCATAGAAGGTGTAGCGTGCCTCTATTGTCTTTTTCACCCTATTAGTCTTATCCTATACCTTCTTGTGTTGTCGATGATGAGAACTGCTGTTAGAAAACCACACACAAAAACAAACTAACACACAATCCTCCCAGATTCCACGGAACTTGTTTATGGGCTTTGCCTCCTAGAACAGTGGAGTGGTCTGGTTGTTCATGGGGTGGTACATATAAGGATCCTTCAAAGTAAAACCCAGAGATGTATGAGTGTGGGTTTTGAGGAAGAGGGATAGTTGGAATATAGAAAGATAGGGGCTTAGTGACGAGTATAGATGAGCACTACCTTGCTAATCATAGCACAAGGTAGGTTTGAGAATGACAAGATAACGAGGTTCCCAGTGATAGCAGGCTCCTGATGCACAAACTGTAGTGCTCAGAAGGACTCTAATCGAAGGGGATGACAATCACTTTCAAAAAGTGACGAGTGACAATGACAGCAGTTAACAGTGGTAGCAGTGGGAAGTGTTGTGACCACACTGGATCACAAGTAGCAGTAAGAAGTGGACTTAAGATTAGAGAAGAAGTCTGGAATTGAGTTCTTGTTGTTTTACAAGGTAAAATACAAGGGTTTATATAGTAAAAGAAAAGTAGGCTATGCACAGTATAGCTGTGCAAAAAGAATGAGAAAGAACATGAAGGAAGGAATGTACACTGATGAATCCTGCATAGGTAGTACAGGATAAGATTGTCCAAAAAAGGAAAAGAAAGGGATAGAACAATGAATGCTGTGAGTAATGTCACAGGTTTGTACAGCCATAAAGTAAAGTCCAATAGCAAAAAGAGAGCAGGAAAATCATGATGTCATGGGAAGATGCAGTAAAAAAAGGGCAAGGCAAATCACTATCAGTATCAACACAGTTCCTTTATTGTCAGTCAGGCATTCTAAAAAAAATATGTGTTCATAAAATGATTCAAAAATCAAAAATAATTGCACTGTAAATGAATGTTCTGCTGAAAAAAAAGAAACTGGAGCCACCAGTCCACCACCTAGTCCAAATCCGACAGTTCCATGGCCTTACCAATGGACTGGTTGTGTTGGACCACCTGATCAAACAAGGGAGGGAGAGGAGTAGTTCCAATTTGGAACAAGTGAGTCCTAGGCAGCGTGTGGTAGGTGTAGCTGTAGCGAAGATGATGGACAAAAGATAAGTGTACCCAAGTGAATGGGACAGCGATGAACATGGGTGACGCAAGGGGATAAACCTTCTCCAGCTCAAAAACTACCCACCCACACTCTAACCAGGCAAGACGAGCGACCGATGTTTTGATAGTATATGATGGTAGATCGACGTCCTGAAGATGGACCTGTTGCCCTATTTGAACCGGCTACTGGGGCTTTGCTGATATCAGCAGTGGCACGTGGTAGTCAACGGATTGGCAACGGAAGCGGATAGGGAGTGGTGACATCAGGTATGGTGGGGGAGCAAGGATGACAAGCAGGAGGAGGGTGGAGGTGACGAAGAGGTGGATTAGAAATGGGATCCAGAAACGACCATCAGGTGAGAATAAAAAGGAGAGGAAGGGGCCCATGGTGGGGCTAGGCAAAGGAAGGGGAGTAAGGGAAACAATGAAGGTGAGGGCGCAATACAATGTGTAGCCAGTGGCGATGCAAAAATTTGCCGAAATGCCGAAACACAGAAGGTACCGAATGGAAAAGCAAAGGTGAGTGTGACTGGATTGCCTAATAAAGGTGGTGCTGATCAGCCACAAGTTCAAAAAAGGCAATATTAATTACTATTCCACGTGGCACTGTGCCTGTGTGGCGCAAAGGCGAGTCTTTTTGAATATTTGCTTTGTTATTGACACCTGTCCATGCTACCAATCAACTTTGGTGCATGATAGCGCCTCAGTGAACTTTTACAGGGGGAACTGTCAGGCCTTATCAGACGGTCAGATGGGAAGTTCAAGTTGAGTTCTAATACATCCAAGTTCCTCCGGCAAGGTCAAATCACCACTGTACCTGACTTAGCCCTCAAGTTCCAAAGCCTCAACCCTAGCACTGAGTGGCAGGACTTGTTCATTGTTGAGGTCTCCCACTCCCAATCACTTGGGGACGTCACCCAGAAGGTGAAAAAGTACTGGGAGGAGCTCCCCCACCTTGTTGGCATTCTAGTGGTCAAATTCTACGAGTCCCACAAATACGCAAAGCCCCAATATGGGTATGCTAAACTCGTTAACATGCAGTATTGGTACAACTTACAAAAGAACAACAATATCAAATATGGCCCTCTGAGGACAGCTGACGGCATAACATGGGTGGGTAGATCTGTGGTGGATATGTACCTGTATGAAAAGGACCCAAAGGTTGTAGGGGGGGAGGGCTATGCACGGGATCTTCCTACGCCCATAGTACTGGTGTGTCCCCTCTTGATCACAACCTTCTTCTAATATACCTTTACGCCAGCTTTCCCAGAGACTGGGCCTTTCTTATCAAAATAGCAGAAGCCTTCTAAAAATTATCAACTCTGAAATTCCTGAAAGGGCCAAATGACACTCAAAATATCTACACTTTGATGATTGTCCAGAAGAAAAACACCTTATACAATATAGAGACCCCTTACATGTTCAATTGAGAACTTGTGGGAAGTGTCTAGCCACTTGCTGAGAGCTAACAGGGACAGAACTAGATTCCAGTATGAGTAACTATATTATCAGAGAGTACATAATGTGTACAGTACCTAGAGTCCAGTATGAGTAACTATAGAATAGGAATACTGGACTCTGCAATACTAGTCCGAAGTTTTGCAAACAAAGGTAAACAAATCAGCCACAAAGGCGAAATTATAGAATGCTCAGTGAATACTAAACAATAGAGCAAAAAGAATAAAGAGGAAAGTGATTTAGAAGAAGGGAAAATAAATAGCACAACTAGGTGCAGAATCACCAAAACTAACATTACAAGCCATTGCTTCTTTGTTGGGCAATCCAGCACATGCGACAGACATAGTCTATAAACCCTCAAGAATATTCACAAACAGCAACAGGGATGATCGTATATTTAATGAGATGTGGACTGGGAAATGGTGGCATTCTGTACAGGTTAATATATTCACGCCAGTGGTTCCTTTCTAAATTTCATACATATTTCTTTGATTTTAGGCTCTTCTACCTCAGGGAGCATTTGTTGCTCCTGTTATAATAGCGACAGACAAAACTCAGTTGACTCAGTTCTCAGGCGACAAGTCTGCATATCTGGTGTATCTTACACTAGGCAATATACCCAGCTCTATTAGGCGCAAACCCTCTCAGCACACTTGTGTACTTATTGAATATCTGTCTGTCAATAAATTGGTGAAAAAAGGCTTGACAACAAAGAAGAAGACAGCACGTGTTCAAAGACTTTTCCATGCCTCAGTATGGATGATTTTGGAGCAACTTATTGAGGCTGGATGGTGCAGTGAGAAAAATTCACCCTATTCTTGCTTGCTATGTTGCCGACTATCCTGAGCAATTTCTGATGACTTGCTCAAAGTATGGAACATGTCCCAAGTGCAGGCGTCCAGCAACAGACCTTGAGAATAAAGCAGCTGGGGAACCTAGGACGTCTGACTGGACTCTCTCTGTCATTAATCAAGCCTCATCTTCGAACTCAAGGAGAGAATCTTTTGATCAACAAATGTATGGATAAAAATGTATCTGGAGGTGTTTACAGGCCATTTTGGGAAGGATTTCCCTACTGTGATATTCATCTTTTCATTACCCCCGATGTCTTGCATCAGTTATATCAAGGTGTCGTTAAACATATCGTCTCATGGTGCCAAGATCTTATGGGTACAGAGGAACTGGATGCAAGAATATGCACTTTACCTCCTGTATATGGATCAAAGCATTTCAAAAATGGTTTATCGCCTCTTTCTCAGATATCTGGAGGTGAAAGAAAAGATATGTCCAATGTACTTTTAGGATGCCTTGTAGGAAAACTCCCCAAGCAGGCAATTATCGCAATTAGATCACTCTTGGACTTCATTTACATTGCTCAGTACCCCACACACAGCAATACAACCCTTGGATATCTACTAGTATCAGATGCTCTCAAAACATTTCATCAAAACAAAGCAATTTTTGTCACTCTGGGTGTCGGGTAAAATTTTAATATTCCTAAATTTCACTCTGGTATAGCTGACATAGTAACTATAAGGCTTCACAAATAATTTATTGGCTATAATAGGAATTTAATAGCTATCATAGCAGCTATAGAAACATACCCAGCTATATAGCAAAATGGTTTTTCCTGATGAAAAGAACATTTGTGCGTAATGCAGCCACCCGTGTTCAGTGTACCGTCAACATAATAGACAGGAATAGATACATCTAATTTTACAAGGGGGAGTCCAATTTGCTCCGCCCAGACCTGGTCTATGAAGATTCTGTTAGCGCCTGAATTAAGCAGTGCGCTGATTAAGTGTACTATGCCCTGGGCAAGGTTTTCCACACCAACGTCTAAATGGATCTCTTTTTGGAATAAATATGTGCGCATCAACACATGCCTTGGGATTTTGGTAGAAGGTGGCTCCAGAGAAGAAGAAGAAACATGTTTTTCTACTATATTTTTATTTTTATTTTTACCAGAATTAAGCACCCTAGTGTTTGTCTTGCTGGGGCCGTGCTCCAAAGGAGAGGCTGGTACAGCAGTGGTTTTATAAGTATTTTCAGTGTTAACTCCTTCATTATCTTTTCCCATTGAATCAGTGCTCAAAGCAGCTATATCGTCTGTAGGGACCAAGACAAATCCACAGTCACAGTGTTGCATACAAGTACATACTTCAGATAACAAATTCAAGAATCTATTTACAAATTGGGGAGCCACCCCCTTCTTTCCGTTATTGCTCGTGCAACACCCTGGAGCAGGGGCCACCTTGTTGTGGTTTACTTCATTGTTACGGGGAGCAAAGGTACCCAAGTGACCTACACTCCGAATTCTTTTCCCTGGGCCTTCATCTCAGCAACCTGCTGATCGTAGAAGAAGGCCCGGATTTTGTTGTAAGAACAACCGGCCAAAGAATTGAGCCAATTGTCCGGTTTTTCTGCTTCTAATTGGCGCACCTGGTGCCCTTGGTTATTTTTTTGTTGGGCGGCCTGTGCCCCATTTTTACACTGCCAGGACATGTGTCCCAGCTTGCCGCAATTGTAGCAGTTCCCCGTGAATCTGCGCTTCTGTCCGCCTTGGACCGTGCTGATATCCATTGGGGCTCCCTGCCCTGGTTGCAGCCCGTACGGCTTGAACCCGTGAGAGTGTTGTTTGTTTTGGTTTGATGACCCAGGGCTCCTCTGGGAATAGGTGTTTTTGGTGGTGGTCCCGCCACCTTGGTGCATAGCGTAGAGCTCCATGTCTCTACCAACCCGTCGGACTTCCTCAGCTGCTAGGGCCAAGTTCTCGTTTTGTGTGTCTTGCAGATAGATCTGCTCTGCAATGCGGGGGTTCACATTGCATTCCAGCAGTTCTACTGCGTGTTCATTGCCAAGCCCTCCTTGGATGGAGAGGGCCAGGAACCGGGTTATATAATCATCCGTCCTTATATTTGCTTGTTTGAAGGAACAGATTTGCTGGCGCGCCCAGTCACACTCAGCTTGCGGTTTGAAACATTTTTTGATCTCAACTTTGAGATCATCCCAGACAGGCCACACTCCTGCATTCTAACTTGGGCATATTGACCCGCCACAGGTCCCTTTAGTCGAGATAGCACCGCAGTTGCTACCTCAAAGTTGTCAGCAAACACATCCCAGTTCGCCTTGACCCAAATTTGGAGTTTGATCCACCATTTGGCGAATTGTGCTCTGTCTCCTTCGAAGGTGCGAGGGTCAGCAATGACTTTGACCTTCTTGTTAAACTTCTTCTCAACCAAGGGGGTTGCTGCAGGGGGGCTTGCCTGTAGCTCAGTGAGTTGCCTGGTCAACGCCGCAATCTGTACACGCATACCATGCAACAGAGTGTTGACGTCAGGTTGGTTTTGCGACAACATGTCGACTTGTTCTCTTGGTAAAGTAAGAAAAACGTAACTGGGGGTCCCCGCTTGCTATCTGTGGATCTACCTCTTCCCAGCTGAGTATCAGATCTCAACCTCCGACTACCCACACTATTGTATTTGAAATTTGTATATAAAAGGTATAGTCAGAAACCCTGGTCCGAACGGTTGTCAGGGGGTGGCCCGCTTGTTAAGCTGTCAGCCCTTCTCCAGACTGGCGGAGGCAAGTGCCCGGCCTGGTCAGAGGAAAATGAAGAAGAAGATTTGTATTCTAAAACTAATCAACAGTGATTCCACACCAACTGCTGAGCTAAGGTACTCCCCTTCACGCTGGGGGCCGCGTATCAAAGTTATTGTCTCTTCTCCCAAAGCACTACAAGGCCATTGCTAGGAGCGCACCTATCTGCTATGCGGGATATTCCAAAACAATAACACTATCCCCTTAACCCTGGGGTCCAGGTTTGCACACAGTGCGAGAGAGTAATGAGAGCGAGTCCTAATGTAACAACCAAGAGTTTGTTACTCTGGCACACAACTCAGACAGGCTATAGAGATGATGATGAGGGAGTGGTTACCCTTTAGGCTTCAACAAGTTAGTTGTGAGGATACAACAGGAGGACTTGCTGAGGAGTCTCCTGGATCTATTGGGTATATATACTAATACAGAGTGTTTGTACTTATGTACTATACAGTTGATAAAAGCCGTGGCTGATAATGTCAGAGGGCGCAGCCTGTGTGACCAGCTTCACTGTGTGAGAGACTTGTGGCTAAAATAAGAATAAAGGCAGTGCAGCGCAAGAAAGAGGAGTTTGAACAAAAGGGAAAGTGCCGCATGGCACAGTGTGTGAAAACTACAGTAAAAGGTTAAAAAGGAGAACAAAAATTAAAGGTCCAAAAATGTGTTATCGTAACACATAGACAATTTATTAATATCCACAAAGTTGGACAATGAGACTGAGCATGACAGGATCATGCAAAAAGTCCTTCAACACTTACAGTAACGGAACCTATTTGTCACGCCCAAAAAATGTATTTTAAAGTGAAGGAAGTAGACTTTCTCAGTATGATATTTGGCCAGAACAGCATCAGGATGGATCCTGAGAAAGCTTAAGCTATTTTGGACTGGCCAGAACCTACTTGCGTCAAAGGAGTTAGGGCCTTCCTTGGCTTAGGCAATTTCTACTGTAGATTTGTTAAAAACTTTGCAAAAATCACAAGTCCATTGAATGATCTCACTAAAAAGGACATTCCATGGCATTGGGACCCCAAGGAACAAGAAGCATAAAGAAGCATTTACAACAGCTTCTATATTGGCATTTCCAGAACTTGTCAGAACTGTGACCTTCGGAATAATCAGAGGTTGGAGGTTGGATGTTGGAGGTGCATTGGGAGCAGAACAGGGTACGAAGTTGGGAGTTGGCTTAGCTTGTGTGCTAGGCCCTTCCTTGGACCTTGGTCCCTAACTTGACAGAGTGAATGAGTGAGAGTAGAGGATGAAAGTGGAGTAATGGCCCTTCAGAGAAGGACTGAAATACTTAGAAAAGACTTGGGTAAAAAGGTGGAGGAACTAGTTGATATTTAAACCGCAGGAACAGAGTACAGGAGCTACAGCTTATATACTATTGGAGGGAGTTTATAAGGAGTAACTCATGTTGTAGATACGGAGTTCCATGCGGACAACTATCTAGTGAGGGGAGTGTACCATAAGGTCTAACTACAGAGTCTGTTACGATACACAATTTTTGGACTTACAACTTTCTTTCTCTTCTTTAACTTTCTTTCTCAGTTTTCACACACTTGTGCCATGCAGCACTTTCCTTTTGTTCAAACTCCACTTTCACTTTCTTGCGCTACACAGCTTTTCTTATTTTTAGATACAACTCTCTCACACAGTGGAGTTGGTCACACAGGCTGTGCCCTGTGACATCATCAGCCACCACTTCTATCAACTGTATAGTACAACATATACAAATAAAACCTGCATAGTAGTAGTATAAATACTTTAATAGATCCAGGAGACTCCTCAGCAAGTCCTCCTCCTGTATACCCACAACTGATTTGGTCCTATCCTAAGGGGTTTACCCACTCCTACCTTCCTCACTCTTGCCTGTCTGAGTTGTGTGCCAGAGTATCAAAACTTTGGTTGTAACAGAGTCTATGAGGAATATGAGAATGTGAATAGGAAATGTATGGCAGAAATAGAAGTCCGGGGCAGGAGAGTCGGAGCAGATTTCCGGAGTACAATGTGGAAGTAAGGTACAAAGCTATGCCAAATGGCAGAGCACAAGGGGCATAATCCTGAGAGTACCAAAGATTTGGGGGTTCAGACTTGTGGGTTTCTGACTGTTCAGAGGTCCAGAAACCATATCCTGTGGCATACATGGATATGACAAAACTAGGCAAAGAGTTCCAGCTAAAAACTAACTCTTCTGACTTTGCTACAGGGGCTGTTCTGTCAATTAAATGCCCTGACAATCTTTGGAGTCCTTGTGCCTATTTATTGCATAATTTGTCGCTTACAGAGTGCAACTATCAAATTTATGACAAAGAGATATTGGCCATCATTAGAGCACTAGATCACTGGTGGCACTATTTAAAAGGTGCTCCACACTAATTTAAAAACTGGAGTATTTTTGATGGCCCCGGACTTGAATTGAAAACAAGCCCGCTATTTGATATACATATCTGTCTAGATTTAATTGTAAATCAATTCATTACAAAGACAAAATCTATGTGCCAGAGTCTGCAAGGATTAAGGCAATAGATAAACATTATGACAGACTAGTGGCTGGGCACCCTGGGTGACAACAAACCATGGAGTTGATATCCAGAAACTATGTATGGCTTGGCATGGTCAAAGGCATGCAAAAATACGTAAAGTGTTGTCTTCACTGTGCCATAGCAAAAAACTCTCATCAACCACTGGCTGGTAAACTTATACCTAATCCAATTCCAGCAGGACCCTGGCAGGATATATTGGTTGATTTTATGGTAGATTTGCCTGAGTCAAATGGGTATAATTCCATAATGGTGGTCGTGGGTTGCTTCTCCAAGGAAGTCATATTCATACCCACAAATAAAATTAATAAATCCACTGGTAATATTGATTTTTGATTATTATCACTAGTAAAACAAGCACTGTGCTGATATACTGAGAAAATGGTAGGTATTTCCTACCAGCAACGTGTCAGAATTGTAGCACATTATAAATTCTGCTTGGTGTTATCACTGCCCTCACATTTTCCTGATGTCCTATCCTTGTAGAGTATGTATAGTTGCAGTCAGTGTATCATTCTAACCTTTTCTCATGATTTTTACATCCACCCCACTTCTGCATGAGTTAATATTTGCGATGGCACACAATTTCCAGCCACATTTTCATTCTCCACTTTAACTTATATTCTTGTGCCACACAGCACCTCTATCATTTTTAGACTTACTTACTCTCACAGTGGAGTCAGCCACCACTAATCATTAACTGTATAGTATACAGTGACTCCAAAAACCATTGCAATGTTTGGCCTAAATGCAGTGTGCTTTGCATACCGCCAACAGGCATGGAAATTTCGCTTAGCTTTGGTGGGGTTGACAAAAGTACTTGGTCTTGGCTACAAAATGGTTCCTGGGTCATGTGATTTGGCCCAGCGGCTGTGAAGGTATGTCTATTTCAAAACAGCAATACCATTACAACATTTTTTTTCACTTTTGAGTTGGAAGCAGAGATCACAATGATATTATAGAATGTTTGGCTTTGTTTGGTCCTACAAGCAAAGATACACATATAAACATTGTGTCTGAGTTTAGAAAAGCTCACAAACTTCTTTATTCTCAGCTACCATCATCATGAAATTCCTCTCTCCTGCTCAGAAAAACCGGATCCTTAACCTCCTTGATACAGGTCAAACTGCTCACACCATTGCCTCTACCACTGGTGTCCATGTCTCTACCATCTCTAGACTTCGCTCCAAGGAACGTTCTGAGCTCCAAAAGTCTGTTGGAGGTCGTCCATCCAAGCTTTCTCCTGCCAATGTCTGCCATGCTGTTCCAACCAAAGTTTTTATACTCTGGCACACACAGTGACAAGCAAAGAGTGATAGAAGATAGGAGTGGGTAAACCCCTTAAGTAGGACCGAGTTAGTTGTGGGTATAGAACAGGAGGACTTGCTGAGGAGTCTCCTGGATCTATTGGGGTTTATATACTAATACAGAGTGTTTGTACTTATGTACTGTACAGTTGATAAAAGCAGTGGCTGATAATGTCAGAGGGCACAGCCCGTGTGACCAGCTCCACTGTGTGAGAGACTTGTAGCTAAAATAAGAAAAAAGGCAGCGCAGTGCAAGAAGAGGATTTTGAACAAAAGGGAAAGTGCCGCATGGCACAGTGTGTGAAAACTACAGTAAAAGGTTAAAGAGGAGAATGAAAATTAAAGGTCCGAAAATTGTGTTATTGTAACAATTATCGCATCTTTACAATATAAAGTGTATGGCATAGATATATATACCCATTTATATCTTCAATCAGACTTGTAAGTAACACAAATCTGCCATAGAATAAATTGTTATAGGGACCCCAGACACCTCTGTGATTAATAGGATATCCCAATGGTCCAACTTCCAATGGTCCATCCCAGATGTCCCATTGGGATATTCTACATGGTCCAATGGGATGTCCCATTAGGCTTTTTGGATGTCCCATGTAGTTGTCCCAAAGGACGTGGTAGACCATGCTTCAGGCTACTAGCCCTGTTGGTTTGGAGATTATAATCAAGCTAAGAGCCCTAAAATTTTTGCTGCCTGAAGTGTCAGAGAGCTAAAGTAGTCAGAGCTGTGATGCGACAAATGTAGCAAGGCTGTGGCTGTGGTATTAGTAATCATAAAGTCAGAGATACTGTAATCTAATACTAGGTATGATTGTTGTAGTTCTAACAAAGCATACCTGCAAAAAGGTCAAGGAGTGGCTAGATGAGTAGGAGTTTAGAAATATGGTGTGGCCTGCACAGTCTCATGTACAAGTAGTAGTATATATACCCCTCAATAGACTGGAGACTCCTCAACAAGTTCTTTTGTTGTCTACCAACAACTAACTTGGACCTACCCTAAGTGGAGTATACCAACTTTGTTTATTATCACTCTTTGATTATTGTAGTTGTGTGCTAGAGTATAAAAACTTTAGTTGTTACAATATTCATAAATATGGAGCTGGAATAGTTTGTCTTTGGTGAGTTGTCTTTTTTCAAACTCAAGCCACTCAACAAATAAATAACTTAATTGACAGTCAAAATTATATTAACGGCATTCTACTTCATTTTTGAAAGCTTTCATACAGGCAGTACCAGTACTCATACTATTCAATTGTGCACTCCAACAACAGTTATAACACCAGATTCTTCAGCAAAGAGCATTTGTTCACAATGCCAAATTCTTATGCCTCTTGACTCTTCCAGTGTGATATTTATAAAAATCTTTCACCTAGCCAGATATCATAAGTTAGTTATTTCACTTTTTACTGCCTCTCAGTACTCAACTTCTCCATGTATACTCTAGTGATCTCCCCCACATTTTGCACTGAGTGCATTACCCTTGCCAAATACAGGGGTTATGAAAATTTTCCCACTCTCCTGCAACTACTTTATCTTTATCTGACATTAGTTATGATCATACCTCTACAGATGTAACAACCAAGAGTTTGTATACTCTGGCACACAACTCAGACAAGCTACAGTTGAAGTGAGTGGAAGTGGTTACCCCTTATAATAGGACTGAGTTAGTTGTGGGTAAACAATAGGAGAACTCACTAAGGAGTCTCCTTGATCTATTGGGGTTTATATATGTACATCTACAGACTATTTGTACATGTGTACTATACAGTTGATGAAGGCAGTGGCTGATGATGTTATAGGGCACAGCATGTGTGACCAGCTCCACTGTGTGAGAGATTTGGTAGCTAAGAATTAAAAAAAGCAGTGCAGCGTGAGAAAGTGGAGCTTGAACAAAATGGAAAGTGCCACATGGCACAGTGTGTGAAAACTACAAAAGAAAGTTAAAGTGGAGAATGAAATTCAAAGGTCTGAAAATTGTGTATCATAACAACAGAGAGCTCTTCTCCTTTGTCCTTATCCTTTCTGCCCATAAAAGAGGCCACAAAATATTCTGCTGGCCTGCCCTCCTCCCCATATTTGCTAGGCTGCACTGGTACAACTCTGTGTGGAAGGACTCCAAAGCAGCCCACAAGCCTGGAGGTATACTGCAAACTCAAGTAGGGTGGACTTTGACCATAAGCTCAACACTGTTTGGGAAGACAAGGCAGTTTCTGAGATCCTCACTTTTTTTGGATGAGATGGGGGTCAAATGGACCAGCATCAACATTGTTTACATTGCCAAGGTTGGAGGTGGGGGAGCTCCTCCCAGTACTTTTTCACCTTCTGGGTGACGTCCCCAAGTGATTGGGAGTGGGAGACCTCAACAATGAACAAGTCCTGCCACTCAGTGCTAGGGTTGAGGCTTTGGAACTTGAGGGCTAAGTCAGGTACAGTGGTGATTTGACCTTGCCGGAGGAACTTGGATGTATTAGAACTCAACTTGAACTTCCCATCTGACCGTCTGATAAGGCCTGACAGTTCCCCCTGTAAAAGTTCACTGAGGCGCTATCATGCACCAAAGTTGATTGGTAGCATGGACAGGTGTCAATAACAAAGCAAATATTCAAAAAGACTCGCCTTTGCGCCACACAGGCACAGTGCCACGTGGAATAGTAATTAATATTGCCTTTTTTGAACTTGTGGCTGATCAGCACCACCTTTATTAGGCAATCCAGTCACACTCACCTTTGCTTTTCCATTCGGTACCTTCTGTGTTTCGGCATTTCGGCAAATTTTTGCATCGCCACTGGCTACACATTGTATTGCGCCCTCACCTTCATTGTTTCCCTTACTCCCCTTCCTTTGCCTAGCCCCACCATGGGCCCCTTCCTCTCCTTTTTATTCTCACCTGATGGTCGTTTCTGGATCCCATTTCTAATCCACCTCTTCGTCACCTCCACCCTCCTCCTGCTTGTCATCCTTGCTCCCCCACCATACCTGATGTCACCACTCCCTATCCGCTTCCGTTGCCAATCCGTTGACTACCACGTGCCACTGCTGATATCAGCAAAGCCCCAGTAGCCGGTTCAAATAGGGCAACAGGTCCATCTTCAGGACGTCGATCTACCATCATATACTATCAAAACATCGGTCGCTCGTCTTGCCTGGTTAGAGTGTGGGTGGGTAGTTTTTGAGCTGGAGAAGGTTTATCCCCTTGCGTCACCCATGTTCATCGCTGTCCCATTCACTTGGGTACACTTATCTTTTGTCCATCATCTTCGCTACAGCTAAACCTACCACACGCTGCCTAGGACTCACTTGTTCCAAATTGGAACTACTCCTCTCCCTCCCTTGTTTGATCAGGTGGTCCAACACAACCAGTCCATTGGTAAGGCCATGGAACTGTCGGATTTGGACTAGGTGGTGGACTGGTGGCTCCAGTTTCTTTTTTTTCAGCAGAACATTCATTTACAGTGCAATTATTTTTGATTTTTGAATCATTTTATGAACACATATTTTTTTTAGAATGCCTGACTGACAATAAAGGAACTGTGTTGATACTGATAGTGATTTGCCTTGCCCTTTTTTTACTGCATCTTCCCATGACATCATGATTTTCCTGCTCTCTTTTTGCTATTGGACTTTACTTTATGGCTGTACAAACCTGTGACATTACTCACAGCATTCATTGTTCTATCCCTTTCTTTTCCTTTTTTGGACAATCTTATCCTGTACTACCTATGCAGGATTCATCAGTGTACATTCCTTCCTTCATGTTCTTTCTCATTCTTTTTGCACAGCTATACTGTGCATAGCCTACTTTTCTTTTACTATATAAACCCTTGTATTTTACCTTGTAAAACAACAAGAACTCAATTCCAGACTTCTTCTCTAATCTTAAGTCCACTTCTTACTGCTACTTGTGATCCAGTGTGGTCACAACACTTCCCACTGCTACCACTGTTAACTGCTGTCATTGTCACTCGTCACTTTTTGAAAGTGATTGTCATCCCCTTCGATTAGAGTCCTTCTGAGCACTACAGTTTGTGCATCAGGAGCCTGCTATCACTGGGAACCTCGTTATCTTGTCATTCTCAAACCTACCTTGTGCTATGATTAGCAAGGTAGTGCTCATCTATACTCGTCACTAAGCCCCTATCTTTCTATATTCCAACTATCCCTCTTCCTCAAAACCCACACTCATACATCTCTGGGTTTTACTTTGAAGGATCCTTATATGTACCACCCCATGAACAACCAGACCACTCCACTGTTCTAGGAGGCAAAGCCCATAAACAAGTTCCGTGGAATCTGGGAGGATTGTGTGTTAGTTTGTTTTTGTGTGTGGTTTTCTAACAGCAGTTCTCATCATCGACAGCGCTTGATGAAAACTTCATGTACAGGAGTAGGCATGCTCAGTTGCAAGATGTCTTTCACATGGTCATACATATATCTGGAAGTAAGGACATAAGTACAGTATATTCACTCATGAAAAAACATACCTTAGAGTGCTGTAGTCACTTTCTCTGAGCTTGTCCACAAACTCAGGGAAACTTGATGGTTCAATATAGAATTGCTAAGGGGAAAAATCAGATCAGGAATGTAGCCAGACAATGATTTCTCACCTAGACATATACATCCTGAGAATTATATGTCAAGTGCCTAACAATTTGCTCAGTGATGGGCTGAACTTGATCCTCAGATGTAGCGATTGGTGCAGTATGGGTGGACATTGAAAGAGTGGATGTTGATAGATTACTCGGGGGAGTGGCAAAAGATCGTTATTGAGTAGCTGTGCATTGCCATCAGGTAATTTTTTGAAATTAAATAACTGACTTACCTTGTGGTCCAGGAGAGGACTTTGACCGAGTAATAGGGGGGGTACACCAGTAGGTAGCACCATTTCCAGTGGAAGTGGAGAATATTGCGTACATGGGGGACAGGTGCATTTTTGCAGACTGAGAATGGGATGTTCTGCTGAAATATATCTCAGTACTCAGCCAACCAAGTAAGTAGTTTAAAAAAAAACCAGGAAACTCACTTTATATCTAAATATTTGCACCAATATGTAGGTGTAAGCGGGTGGGCAAGGAAGAGAATGATTCAAAAGATGATAAGCGGAGAGCTGCCCACATCCACAGTTGGATGTGTGCAGTCACATTGTTCCATGTAGTGTGAGAAAGGGGACAACAACTGATCTCTTTTCTCACACTGCATGGAATCAACAGGTTGCTATTGCACAAAGCCAATAATCACTATGAGAAAAATAGTAAGTCTCTGTTCATTTCACCTTAGTATCAGCACTCACTGCATATGATTGCAATAATGAACACCCAATGAGCCGTGCAAGAATGGACAGTCTGACCGTCTATTCTCTCACGGCTCATTGGGTGATCTAATCTTATCTTTGCTGGGACAATACTGGACCGTGTGAGAATGGACAGTCTGACCGTCCATTCTTGCACGGCTCATCTAATCTTATCTTTGCTGGGACAATACTGGACTATGTGAGAATGGACAGTCTGACCATCCATTCTCGCACAGTCCAGCAGATTGCTGATTTGACGTTATCAGCATTGCAACACCTTATCATATCGTTGTGTAACCAAGGTCAGGCTGCCATACATTTTCCCACAGTCTTTGTAGTATACTGAAGATGTACAGATTTACTATTTCAGCACTATAGGTCAAGATCCTCGCTCGGATACTGGGTCAGCAACCACTGCTAACAGAGCTGATGGATTTTCATGCCCAACTGGTGGGTATCCTAAGCACGCTCACTCCTGCTGACCTCTCTGCACTGCTAGACAAAGTGGCTCCATCCTAAATGGTTCCATTGTCACTCTCTGACAGCCCACCTTCTGTCACCATGCATCAAGACCTAACAACATCATCCCCAGCCTGCTTTGGTGAAGAGGTATGATGGCTCTCCCCTCCTAATGCCGATGTTACTGACTATTTTTTCTCCACAGCAAACTCAAGCTGACAAGTCCGAATTGCAGACCAATCAATCTCTGCAACAATCTCTGGTGGTGATACGTTCACAAAGACGCCAACCATGTCAACACCTGTATCCTGCTGCAGCTCCTACTCCTACTCTTGCACGTCGATCTTGTCGATCTCCATCTCCTGCATGTCGACAACCTGCTCCTGCCCCTGCTCCAGCTCCTGCACATTAACAGCCTTGTCCAAGGGGTGGAGTTCCTGTCCAGCAATCTCTGTGGCAGGCAGTCAATGACCCTGTTATTAGGATCAACTCGGCCGTCAACACTTTCATATTCATAGTATGACTTGCGGCTGCACATGAAGACTCCTCAATGTTCAATTCAGGAGAGTGGGCACACTCTGCCAACTCCCTGTTGACCTCTGTTACGTCCACCAATGACTACCTGGACGAGTCTTTGGCTTCTGTTGTGGCGCGCTGCGGCGCATGACCAGTAAAGACATAGGTGTTAACTTTTTGCTGATGATCAGCTACATCCAGCTCGTTGCCAAGTCCCAAAGGTAAGTGAAAATTGTTACGAATAATTATCATTTCTTTCTGATGTTTATGTTTGTATGCTAGTCTTCGCTCTCAGCAAGGTATCTCCCTGGCAAACCTTTGAAGGGATCTCCCTCAGCCTAAGCCATCTAAGAAATGGTTTGAGCAATGGCATGCTATGGGCTGCAAGTTTGCAGCCATAGCAGCCGGTGGTAAGATTACCTTTGTCTGCATTAAACCATACTTACAGATCTATGTAGGATCTATCTATGCCCTTGTTTTGGTTGCAGGCTTGAACTTACGGGTTCAACTTGGTGAAGTGGATGGAACAATGCCATGGGAGATAGCCAATGTCTTTAGGTGGCCAGTTGAATGTAAGTGTACTACTCCTCTCTGCGTGTATGCTAACTAAACAATGTTATGCAGCTACTGTTAGTGGACAGCTGGTGATTAGTAGAATCATCCCAACTATTTCTAGCTTACGCCAAAACCTGCCACTGAACATGAACTGCATGTTCGCACCTGGCGTGCTCAGTTATGATGGCCTTCCTGCCAATATTGATTGCACCAATTTTGAGGCTTCTGATCAATTTTTTAAGGCTATCTGATTCAAGTACGTTACAATCATTTGATTCTAACAGTTTCTGATTTTTTTTGGTTTTTTGTAGTACTTTCCAACTCTTGGATTGTCGTCTAGATTGTTGGGGAGTCTGTATGCACACTATAGACATAGCTCATGTACCTATACATTGTCATGGTCAGGCTATCTTAGGTGTGTGTACAACATCTTCAGTACACTTCCTGACTCCCTTATCTGATCTTGACGACATCATGCCTTGTTCTCAACCACCATCACCATCATTACCACCAGTTGTCCTCCCTGAAATGTATGTGGTTAGCACAACATTCCAGAATATGGCTGAAGGCAATCGCCAATACTCTGCACCGCAGGATCCTGGCGATAACTACGAGTAGACCGAATCAGAAAGAGAAAGGGCAAGTCAAGCCATCAAGGTCACAGATGTGGAGGACCTGACAGCCAAGGTATGTCATTATCATGTATGTAGTGTACGCAATATCAATGCTAAATACTTGTTCTTAGATACAGAAACATTATGATGGGGGTGTTTGTACAGACCCCTCAGCATACTTGTATATACCATCCTCAATATTTCCCTCCATCCCTCTTCTCTTGAAAAACAGCGATGATTTGCTCATTGTCACGATCTCTTTCTCTCACACCTGACACTTCACCTTTCCTCTCAAACTCAGATGTCGAGACTCTTATCTCTCCTTATCTTATCACATAGCTTTTCCTTTATCTATATCTTATCTCATCACGTGACATCAAGTCATGTGATTACTTACAAATCATCTTACCAAGCTACACGCTACATCCTCATGTCTATCAGTCAGCGCCTCATGGCTGACATGAGTTCTTACATATATAAGTAGACACTCAACGATGTACATACCTTAGCTTTTGATTTAGTCTTTATACAACCTGTTCAACTACCTGCTTGAGATTGACGTTGGGTCTGCCTGGTTTCTTCCAGTAGTGCAGCTCAGTCGTTATACTCATGTTATTTTTAAACAGCTCTATGCCAGAATTAATTTGCACCACTCTCCTGCCTAACTTCCAGTCCTGCCTAGGCTTCACGTTTGAAGCTCTACATTTCTCTTGGTACAACCGCCATTGTACAAAAGTGAGTTCTTTTTTTTTTTTTTTTTCCATTTACAAACTATGCTGAATCAATGAAGGGAAATGACGCACGCAATAATATTCCCCCTTTGATGATGAGGAGAAAGTATGCCTCGAGAACAAATTATTTGCAGCTTATCCCCTATACGTCCAAGGAGATTCAAGACCACACTGACATTTACCAGAGACTTAAAACAGTATTTGCTGATCTCTTTGAATGGATAAATGAAATTGTGAGTGACATTGTTTCTGATTAATCTACAGGATAATCTGCTGATACCATTGATGTAGCTACTTATCTACCTGCTGAATATTCGGTACTCAGACAACATGCTGAGTTACTCCCTGGTAACAACGCGTCTGCTGTCTGCCCATTCTTAGGTCTTGTGGTCAATATCAATATTTCAACCAAGGCTCACAGGGATGCCAAGGACAAACTCTTTTGTCTAGTCATACCACTGGGTAAGCATAAAGGGGGAGAGCTTTGCCTTGTTGAGCCTGGCCTGGTGTTGCAGATGAGAGAGGGGGATATTGTGCTCTTTCGCTCATGTGATATAACTTATTTTAACTTGCACTTCAGAGGGCAGAGGGGCTCAATTGTCTTGCAAACTGACAAGGAGATGGATAATTGGAGGAATGGGCAAAATGGATGGGCTGGTCATTCTTCTTTACATTGATAACCATGGACTTTGTACTGCATTTTGTTTTTTTGACCTTGATACTCTTAGATGTTTACCAATTGTTTGATCCAGAGTTTGTCACTAATTGTACTAGTGTATATTTGTTTGTTGTATCACTTTTGAGAAGAAAGTTGAAAGGTGTGAGGGATGAAACGTTCCACTGTTTGCTAATTTCTCATTTTCTATATCTTTTGCCTCTGTCTCTGTCTACTATTTTGGTGATGGCTACTAGGACAAGATCTGGACAGAACAAAACTCAGGGGAGTAAGTCCAAGAAGCCTTTAACTAAACATTCCAGGGCTCAAGGGACATCAAACTCTTCTGATGGGTTTACACGAGATGAAGAAATCTTATACAGCCAACTGATGAAGAAGTTGCAAGCATCTGGAAAGGATGCAAATGCTGACAGGCAGGCTAGCAGGTGAGTCATTTAATATGTGTTATGTATCATGTCTATTACATAGTACACTTCCCAGATATTTGTCAGAAAGCAGCTCACATGGTGGAGGCTGAGGATGATGAGGAAGAAGGAGACTTGGATATGCCTGATGTTGATAGTGAAGATGAACCTCTTCATAAGAGGGCCAGGAATAGCATGGAAGAGGAACTAGAAGATGAAGAACATGCTCTGATGCAGACCTTTAGACGCTTGACAGGCAAGTAACTCAACCTTAGCTATAAGCTTTACTAATGCAGTATCATCAGAAGAAAGCTCACAGCAAGTTACTCCCTCACCTTTATTGACCCAAGAGTTAGACAATCCTTGCTACGAACAAATGGTGTCATCATTGCATACTGATGTGAGTTTTACCTTTTTTTTCTAGTTCACTGATCCACATATACAGATACAGATTACTGCATCACCAGCTGAAAGTGTCCGGTTGGTTAACAATAAGCGTAAAAGGAATAGCAGTAGTTCTCCTTCATTAACACCTTCCAGAGATTCCAAGGTAAGTGTGCAATATGTTTAAAGATTATAAGGCTTATATTCTACACAGGCCGTCATCACTAGCTTTAGCCCTACCAGCTCCAGGCTGGCTAAAGCAGGACATTCTCAAATGTGTGTCATTCTTTCTACTGTGAAAGACTTCCCAGGTACTGATGAACGAGATGAACTTGTTTGGAATTCAATCATCAAAGTTGCAAGTTCTTCTTCACTATTCAAGACTACTGTAGTAGATTTGGAGAATGCAAGGAACGAGCAGAAAAAAAGTAGAATCATTGATTATGTGAGTGAGAACAATGCTTCCAATATTACTAATATTAAAATTATAAACAGGTGTGGGCGGCTGCAGCTCAGCTCAGAGGTGAAGTCAAACAAAAGGCTAGGATACTCATTCTCTCAGAATACGCCCTCAAAGACAAGCTCCCAGAGGAAGTATGTGTTAGAATATACTCTGACATACCAATACTCCATAGGATAATACCTCTGATTTGTAAGCCAGCCCAGTATGCAGCAGCTATTCTGTGTAAGACGTCCGTGGTTGCATGTCATGTTTAAGATCCTACATTGTATAACCTTGGCCATATAGCTCAATTGGTAGAGCAGCTGGCATGTATCCAGAAGGTTCCAGGTTCAATCCCTGGTCTGGTCAATATCCAATTTTATCAGTACGTACTATAGTGGAGTGGTTGTTGAGTAATGGAAAAAGTGTCTTTACGTTTGGTGGTTTGGATGCTTCTGTAAGTGTTTATATGTACTCTTCTTAAACCTTTTATGACTATGTATTTCAGACTTATTCATATGATAAGCAAAAACCTTTTGGACATCACATCATCAAGCTACTAGTTCAGGTTCAGTGGTTCCATAAGAAGAGGGAGGGCGTCCTCTATCCAAGTGATTTCAAAGACTCACCTTTTCCATTAATTGCCTTGGCTGTTACAGCTGTGAGTTTGTAATGTAATATACATGAACTTTCCTCACTCTATATTTCACAGGTTGAAAACTGTCTTCATGAACTTGCAAAAGGTGTTTGTACCACCTTGAATTTCTCTGAACAGGTTTACAGGCCCAGGTAAATTCAATATCCACTCTACGTCAACCTTTACTCACAAGTGTTTATCAGATATTTATATTATCTCTCCAGGTTAGAAGAGCTACAAAGGAAAGCTCCTAGGTGGTTTTTGCAGTTTCGTAAAAACACTTACAACAATATTCTGTGAGTAGCCTACCAAACTATTTTAGAACAACACTCATAAGCATTACATTACACACAGTCAACAGTGTGATTTACAGTACTTGAATGCACAAGAGGACAACTGGGAGGATGAGGTTGATTTTGCAGTGCTTGAAGATTCAGCATCCTTATAGGTGTTGATACATGCATATCATTATATGGTATCAGAAATATACTATAATAGATTCTCTGCATATGATCTCTGGCTAGGATGCTATAATAATAGTGAATGAAACTGAGAGAGTATGGAAACTATAATAATAGTGAACGGAACTGAGAGAATTTGAAAACTATGATAAGCTTGTGGAACATATATAATATGACTATTCTGAAATAACCATTGATGGTTGTTATATCTATTATATTCTATGAGAGCAGACATAGTAGAGATGGATTGTATATATCACAGAAGTGATACTATAGCTGGTATAGCAAACATCTCAAAATAGCCCTGCTATATAGAGCTATATAATAGGGACTTGTTTAGGCATACTATAGCTACTATTTTCCATATATAGCACTATGACAGCTATAATAGCTATAAAAGGAAACTAGGTTTTTCCTGATGTTGTTGTCGAGTATCAAGGACACAGAGAACGAGTCACCGCCGAAGCTACCCAACTAGGGAAGATTAACTTAATTTTGGGCTGGACCTGGCTATTTAAACACAATCCTGAGATCAACTGGCAGACAGGAGTTGTCACATTGTCACATTGCCCTCAGGAGTGTGATGATTTGAGTAAGCCGAGTTACGTCCATCAAACTGAGCGACTTGAAAAGATAAACGCTGGTCACGTTTATGAGCTCAGATCTTTAGAGAAGATTGACAATAACAATGAGGTAAAACCCAAGGAAGAGATTAAGAGGCTGGTACCTCCCAAGTACCATAACTTCTGGAAAGTCTTTTCCAAACATAAATCAGAGTGCTTCCCAGAGGCTAAACCTTGGGACCATGCTATAGATCTGAAGGACACGTTCAAACCTAGAAAAGGACACATGATTCCCGTCTCTGCTCCAGAAAGAGATGAGGTATCAAGTTTCATAGATGA